AGACTCCTGAGAAAGCGGTCACTGCATCATGGGTGATGACTGGATATGCTGTAACAGCTGGATTTCAGTAAAAAAAGAATATATTCTAAAAAACATGACTTCCCACCATTTTCAAGTGGGGGAGGGGGGAATGCCATTGTAAAATGACAAAATGACAATGTCACAGCATCACCATCGCTTGCTTTCGGGAAAGACTGCTCACCTTCCTGGAGACGCTCCTGGTGGGTGTCCTTGGCTTTTCTTTGCTGAATCTCCAACTGCTCGATCAACAACTTGTTTTCTTCTAAAACCAGTTCGGCTTGAGTCTGAAGCTGCCGCCTACAATTGATTTACAAAATTAAATACTGCCCTTCAGGTGCAGAATGCCTATGGAGACACTCCTGAGTCTAAACGAAAGCAACTGCTGGGCTGTAGGCAATGAATATCTGGACATATTATAGTACTAAACATGTTATTAACACAGCCAGTTTTTAATTTCCATCAAATTGGGGGAAAAGACAGACAGAAGCTTGATATTAAACTGCTTTGGTAACTTCTTGTTTTGTTTTAAAAACAACTGCCTTTGTTTGTTTATCTCCGGTTGTGCTGGTTTCCTTGCTGCGCTTTTCTCCAGTTGCAGTCAGCGGAGTGCAGCTGCCAAGGGGGGCAGACCAGGGCATGGCAGGGCGGGGGTTTGGAGGCGGCAGGAGCTCTGCCTACAGAGTGCCCCGAAGCCCTGGGAGCCCTCCCCAGACTCTCGCAGGAAGACAGTGAATTCAGAGTATGGGGTGGGGGCTGGCCAGGGGCTTCAACAGGCCCTGCTCAGACCTAGCAGCACCCACTCACCTCCACCCTGTGGCAGAGGCCACCACCCTAGAGCAGGATGCAAATTTCAAACTCTTATGAACAGGACTGGGGAACACGGTGGGCACGCGGATTTCAAAGTGGAGCCTGCCTTTATTTATTTATTTACATTTTAAGAAGCAAACAGGTCTGACTTGAAGCCATATAGAAGGATGGAGAAAGAATCTGAGGGTCTGGGTTCTTGTGAGACTCCTGGAAGCAGCCCAAAAGACCTGCTTTCCAGGGCACTATTCAAGGAGGGTTCGAGGGGAGACACACTAGGAGCCTGAAACGCTGACAGAAAAAAATCCAAGTTCACCAGCGGAAGTCACAATACACTAGGCAGGATCCAGTAGCCGTCCAACCAGTCCCAGTTAACACAGCAGTGACCATAAAAAGAGAGAGAACCCACCTAAAGGTAAGAATGCTGTGGACTGGATTCCAAATTTCTAGTCATCACATATAGAAAATATTTAATTTTTCAGGGATGTTAAGACATTAAAAAAAAAAAGCTAAATATAACATACCTACCCAAGGCAAAAAAGATCTATCTGAATAGTTTCTGCTTGCTTGCTCCTGCTTGGGTATTGCCTTTAGACGTTTGAAGACATTTACTTTCTCAGATGTGCTGACGAGGCATCTGTTGCTGAGCTCGGTGAACAGGACCTGGCCCTGCCCTGAGAAGCTCACGAAGGAGAAGGACACACACAGGGAGGCACAGTGCGGCTGGTCCCAGGACAGAGCATGCGTTTAGGGGGAGCGCCTTCAGGGGAGAGCTACCTATCAGCACCACTTGAGCCGGGCCGGACGAGTGGGCAGGAGCGCAGAAGGGGGCGGTCTGCTGGGGGGAGCGGAGAACGTGAGCAACAGGACAGCAGTGGTCAGCTATGGAAGGCGCAGGGCCGGTGGGATCTGGGAGTGCAAGGCCCCAGCCTAGACTGTCTGTCCTAAAGCCCTGCAAGCCATCAGAGGGGTCTAAGAAAGGACTCGGCTCGGCAGTCTGGGGACAGGAAAAGTACCCTAGAAAAATACCACCTCATGGTCCACTGGCTAAGACTCCGTGCTCCCAAAGTAGGGAGTGCGGGTTCAATCCCTGGGTAGGGAACTAGATCCCGCATGCCATAACTACAGTTCGCATGCCACAACTAAAGACCCGACATGGCTCAATGAAGACTGAAGATCTCATGTCCTCCAACTAAGTACTGGTGCAGCAGAATTTAAAAAAATTTAAAAAACACAACCTCAGAGGATAAAAATGTGGACAACCAACATTTTTCAGGTTTAACAACCTACTTAGAATTTTGAAAGTAACCTTTAAAATACAAGTTTAGAATAATTTTCTAGGTTTTCAGCTGTACCTTATTAATTTCTGAGAAATTAAATGTTTTAGTTGAAATATGTAAGTTAAAATTTACATATATATTTGACAACTTAATAAACTTTATTCCTATCATCGTTTCTTCTTTTAATTAGCAAAATACCAGAAACACCACCACGTGCCATTCTTCACTGGTGACAGGACTACTCTTATTCAGCTCTTGATGCAGTTTCTCGTTTTCTTTTACCACTTCTTGGACTCGAATTCTAAACATTCTCATTTCCTCCTGAAACAAAATTTAAACAAACTGTAACACACACACAGGTACTTCTTAGCTCCAATGCTATTGCTCCAGCTAAAATCAAATGTTAATATAACTTAGAAGCAAAGTCTCAGGGTACCAGCGGCCTTAAACTCTGTACCAGCACCTACTCAGTCTAGCGAGAAAACACAATAGACAGCTACCATGCTGAGGACACAGAGCAAAGCACCTCAGGTTTTAAATACTCAATCCTCAATTCTGATAAACTTTTTCTGTACTGCCAAATATGTGAAAAGATAAAAAAGGGGGATAAAAAGGCAATAGATGTCTATAAATATAATTTTTTCTTTGTTTAAAGACTGCAGGATAAATTGGAGCTTTTTAGGTAAAAACAAGAACTGTTCATCGTAACTAAAGCCCATTTTGGTGCGGAAGGCCTTAATTAGCGTGGGGGGCAGGAGTCACCTAATTTTGTTCCTTGACAATGACAAGCGCGCCTCCCTTCCTTAAAGCCAGCGGGCAGTCCTGCTTCACTGCTCACTGGCTGCCACTTCACGACTGCGGCTCGGTCTGTTTGTGGTCCTCGTGCTGGCTGACCTCCCATCCAGGCTTTGCTTGGCTAGCCTTGGCCAGCTTCGTTATCTTGGGCTGTCTTCTGGTGAGAATCTTAGGTGTCAGTACTTACCCTGGGATGCTTTTAAGTATTCTTCTCTCAGCGAGCAGACATTTATGCTTATAAAAAGCAATAATGCCAAGCAACTTTTCTTTCTGCCCACTTAACTGCCAGTCCACTGGCCAAACTACAGCCGGCAGGCCAGGTGCCTATGCTGTCAATCAAGTTTTACTGGAACACAGTCACGCCCGTTTGTTCACACCTGGTCTGTGGCTACCTTCATGCTACAGCAGCAGAGCTGAGTAGCTGCAAACAGAAACTCCAAGGGCCCCCAAAGCCTAGAACAGTCACTAAGTAGATGTTTGCAGAAAATATCCCCTGAACCCTGCTTTAGAAGGAGCACTAAATAAGTACTTTTATTATGTGGACTGATATTTAACCAATTAGCATAAGATCAATTCACCCTCTTTAAAAAATTAAGTGTCCAGTAGAAAACCTAGGAGGGAAGGTTCAAAAACCGCATTACATGGGCCACGTATACGGGATAGCAGAACAAAAACAGGCTGGGTGACGCTTTTTTTTTAAAAAGGTTTTTTTTTTTAAAGTTTTTTAAAAAAATTTTGTTTCAACCTTAAAAAAATTTTTAAGTTTTTACTTTATTTATTTTTTCGGCCAAGGTGCACAGCATGTGGGATCTTCCCATGAGACCAGGAATGGAAACCATGCCTCCTACAGAGGAAGCGGGTCCAGAAGGAATTTCCAGGGCTAGGTGACTCTTAACAGACCCTTCCAGCCAAGGAGCCCAGAAGAACCACCTCTTTCCTCCCTGGATCCCTTCACTTTGGCCACTTAGACAAGGAACACAGGTAACGTGGCAGAGCAAGGCATGGGACGTATCTACAATACCGGCACAGCCTGATTTCCTGCACAGTTAGAACGAGCTCTGCTCCGGCAGCCATTCACATCAAAGAGAGGGAGCAAGGCAGAATGGAATAAAAACCTCACTTCCCCACTGCTATCGACAGCTCGGTAACTGGACTTCCTGGGGTCGGCTCTTCATGAAATTAAGGAACATTAAGTTTGCCTAAAAGATTCCTGGTCTCCTACCTTCCCCATCTGCCCAAACGTCCCTTTTACCAGTGCTGTTGGCAGCTGCACGGGACCAGGGAAGGAGCACCTCCCACGGCTGCCTTCTCTGCACCCCAGCATCCCGGTCCACGCTGGGCTGCCTGTCTCGGAGGCTCTCCGTCCCTGCAGACCCTCCCATCAACCCCGACCCAGCCCTCCTGCTCCGCCGGCCACTCCTCCTGCCTCCCCTCTTCCGTCCCTCCCTCTTCCTCTCCCCACCCCCACTCCGCTCCACTCCCTCCTCTTCCTTTCCTTCCTGTAACAAACACTTGCGTACCTGCCAGGAAGTGGGTATACCTATCTTCAGCATGTTGCCTCCAGGTTTGAACTGGGCTTCTCTTTTACAAACCTTGTCCTTCTGAGATGTCTGCCAACCTACCTGAAGGCTGGCAACGAGCTCGTCCTTCTCTTTCATCCTGTCTTCGTAGGCGAGCAACAAGGGGGACAGGTATTTCATATCCACCTGAACATAATCAAATAAAGAAGGTTAACACCTTTCTTACAACTCAACACAACCGGCACATCTTTGAAAAGGAAAGAAAATTGGTTCGGTTTAATTCAGAACGATTTGTAACAGCTATTCAAACACAGCCCAGAAAATATGGGCCTGAAATTAAATAACTTTTACTTACCAACCAGGGTGGTGTAGGGCCCTTTGATGGGAGGCCTTCAATATTTAAACTCTAAGAATAGAACACAGAGTGAAGACACATTAAATTACTGAAGCCTCTGCGCTCTGGAGCCTGTGCCATATAACTGCTGAGCCTGTGCCACAACTACAGTCCATGATGTAACGAAAGATCCTACATGCCGCAATCAACACCCGACACAGCCAAATAAATAGATAATAAAAAAGAAAGCAAGGTGATCATAATGCTCATCTATTCTCTTCATTCTCCCCAGGATCACAGTGCAGCCTGCTGTCTGATGTCTGTAAATAGCTGTATTAGGTATCCTGTTTGGTTTTCTAGCTGTTTACAGTAAGAGGGCAAACCTGGTATGAGTAATTCCATCAGGGCTGGAAGCAATGGCCCTGATGGAATAACTCCTTATTCAACAAAAACTTTCTAATGTGTTTATCATCTCATGATTCATTCAGCAAACACTGCAAGTCCACTAAGTCATTATGGACATTACCGCACAATCGTCGTTTTTAAGGATTTTATGGTTCATCTCAGAGACAGGTCTTCTCACACGGGTTAACATCACACACAAACACAGCAGGGGTAGAAGGTGCCTTAAGAGGGACACAAACGGAAGTCTGCAGTGGGTGGAGAGAGAGATCAGCCCCGGCTGGAAAGATCGGGGAGACTGTCACAGAGAGCCTGGCGGCTGCGGAGCACAGCGGTATGCACGCTTGGCGGGGGCAGTGGCCAGCGGCCAGTCACTGGGCCGGCCTACTCACAGCCTTTTGAAAGGGAACAGGCTCACCCTAGGGAGCCTGCTTTGGATCACAGGACTCCAGGAGCTTCCATATTTTTGTTTAAAAAAGGTTAACGTTATGTTAAGTGAAAGAAGTTGGTCACAAAGACCACCTATTGAACGATTCCATTTATTTTTTTTTCCTATACATATGTTATCCTGTATTTATTTATTTACTTTTGGTCACACCATACAGCATGCAGGATCTCACTTCCCGAACCAGGGATCTAACCCATGCCCCCCATGCAATGGGAGTGCTAAGTCAACCACTGCATCACCGGGGAAGTCCCTGTAAGATTCTGTTTATATAAAGTATTCAGAACGGGCAAATCCACAGAGACAGAAGGTAGATGAGTGGTTGCCAGGGCCAATGTGGGAGGTGGGAAGAAACAGGGAGGGCCTGCTAACAGGTGTGAGATTTCTTGTTATGAAGAAAACATTCCAAAATTGTAGTAAAGGTTGAACCGTTTTGTGAATACACTAAAAAAAGTCACTGAACTGTACACTTAAAATGGGTGAATTCTATCTCAAAGCCAGTATTTAAAACATTTAAACCTACATCCTACTTCAAACAGAAAGGAAACAACCCATAAAGGTGCCCTCAACTCCCAGGAGGCACATAAGAACTCTGTGCATACCTGGCTCCCCCCTCACTACTGATCCCCAGGGGGAGGCTGGACAGCTGGACATCCCGACGACCCCACCCCACCAGCCCCCACACGTCCCTCACACACACAAGACTCCAGGGCACAGACCTGAGCGAATGCTCCTCCTGCCATTCCCCACAGCATCTGCCATAGTGGCATGCTGAGTGAGTGTCGAATTTTGCAGTCTTTCTAAGGTAAAACCTAGTCTTTCTTCTCTAATTACATACACATCACCTTAAATATTTACCATTTATTGCTGGGGGGTGGGGAAGAGAAAACACAAACTTTACTCTCTTAGCAAGCTTCAATTATAAAATACAGTAATATTAATTACAGTCACCGTGTTATATTTGGTTGGCCAAAAAGTGTGTTCTGGTTTCTCTGTAGGATGGTAAAAAGACTTGAATGCTCTTTTTAGCCAACCCAATATGTACATTAGATCCTCAGATCTTACCCATCTTGTAACTGAAGGCTGTACCCTTCCACGTGCCTCTCCCCATTTCCCCCAGCCCTCAGCTCACGGCACTCACCACCCTTCTCTCACTTTCTATGAGTTCAACTTCTTTGCTTTTTAATTCCCCATATAAGTGACACCAAGCACTTTATCCATCTTTATCTGGCTTATTTCTCTTAGAATAATACCCTCCATGTTCATCCATACTGTTGCACAAGTGACAGAACTGCCTTTTCTTTAAGGTTGAATAACATACACATGCATATGTGTATGTGTCAAGTCTGCGTGCGTGCTCAGTCGTGTCCGACTCTTTGTGACCCCATGGACTGTGTAGCCCACCAGGCTCCTCTGTCCATGGAATTTTCCAGGCAAGAATATTGGAGTGGGCTGCCATTTCCTTCTCCAGGGGATCTTCCCAACCCTGGGATTGAATCCGAATTCTCTTGTGTCTCCTGCACTGGCAGGCAGATTCTTTACCAGTGAGTTACCTGGGAAATACGTGTGTGTGTGTGTGTGTGTAAACATGTGACATGTATCACATTTTCTTTCTCCATTCATCCTGACGTTGCTTTCAGACCTTGGCTGTCATAAATGCTGCTGCAATGAACATGGGAGTATAGCTATCTCTTCAAGATTTTGATTTTCTTTCCTTTAGATATACACCCAGAAGTGGGATTACTGAATGGTACGATAGTTCTGTTATTTCTTTGGGAACCTCCATTCTGTTTTCTATAGTAGCTGCAATCCCTCCAATAGTGAACCAAGGATCATTTCTCTCTACACGCTCACTTATTTACATTTCATTAAGATCAGTTTCTGAAGATTTATCTCGTTCTCTTCTTTAGAACATATTCCCTTTTCTCCTCATCTTCCTTTACTCTCTCTGCTGGTTTCTGTGCATTAGAAAAAACAGCCAGCTCTCTCATCTTGACAGAGTGGTCCTGCACAGGTATAGAGCCTTAACAATCAGCCTAGCCCATGTTCTTAGTAGCCTCTCAAACCTCTGTGATTGTCCAAGCTGCTGTCTTTAAGTGGTTCCCAGTTGGGGATGTACCGAATCCTATCAGCTTCCCAAAGGGGAGGATTGCAGTCAGTATTTAGATTTATGCTGATTAGAAGCCAGAAATTCAGGCAGCATCTGGGAAAGTATGCGGTTAAACCCATTTCAGAGAAAAAGTGGGAGAAGGGTGTTTTTGTCTGCTCTCTCTACACTAAGCCCAACTATATAGCTACAGGGGATGCCCCTATGCCTATCATGAATCTCAATTCCACTGACTGTGACAGCTAGCTCATTTGGGAGCCTGTGAACACTGGTCTGCTTTCTTTTCAAAGTCTGTGCACTAACAAACAACAGCTATAACCCTGAGGAACAGGCTGGGAATGGAGCGGACAAGGATTTTTACTCCTTTACTTTACGGATGTTTATACTGTCCTAATTTTTCACTAAGAGCTTTCATTGCTTTAGTTTTGAGAAAAGGAGAGATGGACGGAGAAAACAGAAAGGTGCCCAGGAAGACTCTACTTTGGATGTATCTTATACCAAATTATAATAAACTCTTTGGAACTGGAAATCAATTCAAGGCTAAAATACCAGTAATGCTGATTTTTCTTAATAGGAAACATTACCTCTTTCTTGGATAAATGCCTGAATTTTGTTTGATATCTACTCAGTTCTACATTCAAATGATGAACAGTCATTTTCAATCCATCATTTTCATCCACCAGTTCTTGAGCTTGCTTTCTTAGATAATGTAATTCAGGTGCAGCAACTACTGAAAAAAAAAATTTAATATTATACCATAAGAACTTAAATCAAATTTATCATGATTTTACATAAATTGTCAATTGTCTGTCCTCCTTTCCATTTAGGCTCACAAAGGCAGCAAATGACAGTTATACAGATATAAATGAATAAAAGTTAATAAGTTTTTTTAACACTGAATAGTCAACAATATTTTAGGTGTTTGTGAAAGTTGATCTATATATATGATAAAGGTAAAATAAAAATTTTAGATTGGAAAAAATGTCATTGTTTCAGATGATATACAAATATGTGCTCTGAAAATTATATAGTATAAATGGAGAATTTACTAGAACTAATAACCTTCCCACACAATAGTAATGTTCTACTAGAAAACATAATACAAAGCAGATCCCACAAAGTAATAGCACAAATAATATCAAGTATCTAGAAATGTGCCTAAGACAAGAAATATACAGGGTCTGTATAGGGAAAACCACATTATCTTTCTTAAGGCCATAATAATAGACTTATATAAACAGATAAATATACAGAGAAAACATTACTGAATACTTATATGAGCTTAGCATTATTGTTATTAATTTTGGCCATATCACACAGCATGTGGGATCCTAGTTCCTGACCAGGGATCAAACCTGCACTCCTCAGAGTGGAATCGTGGATTCTTAACCACTGGAAACCAAAGGCATAGATCATAACAGAAAAATATCCTATACACATAGCTGAATTATTAACAAACTGAGAAACAAACTCAAACATATGTGACATAGGGCTAAAATTCTTAATATATAAAGAGCTCCTATAAATCAACAAAAAAGATCAAAATATCTCAATCCAAAGTGGGAATATTTATGAAAGAGAAAGAAAATGAGCTGCAAAGATAATGAAACAAATATTCAACTTCATCAATAACAAAACAAATAGAAATTAAATTAAAACGGGATTTTTTTTTAACCAATCAAATTAGCAAGGAAATATAATCTTCAACACTGGTAAGTATGTGGTGAAACAGACTTTTATATGGTGCTCATGGGGATAAAAACTGATACAAAACATATGTAAAATATTATGCTAAGAGCCAAAAGAAGTACTAGAATTTCTTCAGCATAATAAAAATGATACAACAGATGAAATCAAATTTCAACAAATATAAGGATATTAATGAAAGACCATAAATATCAAAACAAAATATCAAGAACATTAATATCAACAAATGTTATAACATAAAATGTTAACTTCCAAAATAAGTACAAAAATTTGAATTCCTGTTCCTTCCTGTAACAAAAGAACTAGATAGTTGTCCTCACCTTCCTGAGAGGATGCTTTCTCAACCTCTTTTGGCTTTCCATTTTCTTTTTTCATCCTTTCAAGTTTTAACTGTAGTTCTTTCATTGTTTTTTTTATTATGTTAAGTTCGTGTGTAAGGGTTTGATTTGCATTGTTTAGATGCAAATTTTCTTCTTTTAATTCCTCTAACTTTTCTTTGGTTATTTCTATACATCTTTGACGTGTTCTACCAGATATATCTAAAAAAGGACAGGAAAAAAGTTTTAAAATACTAATTGATATTAACAATTTTACATCAGAATTACAGGAAACTATTTCAAAAAACCAAAGGAGAAACTTCTTTGTGTCAGTGCCTGCAAAGAGACTGGCCTATACAGCAAAGACTGTGACCTGTTAAGACTACAGTGAGCAATAAGAAGAAGGATAACACAGGGGGAAGCAGAAGCCAGTGGAGGCCTTTGCTTATCATAATATGCAGAGTGGAGGTTGTATCCTGCAGGCCACCAGGAGCCAGAAAGCCTTTCAGCAGAAGTATGGAAAGAAGGGGACCTACTCTCAGATGAACTGCTGAGGCCAGCAGTGAAGAAAGTGAACAGGAAGGAGGCCTAGCCCAGAGGCAGGAAGATCAGTCTGAAGGCTCCTAGAGTGGGGACCAAGAGGAAAGTGTTAGGGGAAGCACGCTGATTGAAACCGCCCACCCTGGCCAGGCACCATAGTAACCATTTGCATGAGTTGTTTTATGACAGGAGATCCTGATAAGGAATACGGAACTAACAAGCCACCACCAACCGGAAGAGTTCGGGAAAGGTCAAAAGGAGACACCGCGTGTCTGTCCACTTCCCAGAATCCCTCTCGCTAGCATCCATCTTGCTGAGCGATGCGTGCGCCACCAGGAAAGAATCTGAATTAGAATGATTGGCCAAAGACCACCTGGAAACTAATCCCATCACCATAAAACCCAAGACTTCGAGCCACACGGCAGAGCAGTGCTCCTGGGTTCCCTTACCCTCCTGCTCTCCACCCACGTGCCCTTTCCCAATAAAATCTCTTGCTTTGTCAGCACATGTGTCTCCTCGGACAATTCATTTCCGAGTGTTAGACAAGAGCCCAGTTTCAGGCCCTGGAAGGGGTCCCCCTTCCTGCAACAAAAGGACATGAGAGAATTTGGGGCAAAAATATGGCAGGGCTCAGCAGCTGATTGGGTGTGGGCAGTGAGGGCGGGGCAAGTCAAGAATGAGCAACAAGATGTATAGTTTAGAAGATATGAAGCCAGACAAGGAACCCAAGCCTGGCAGGGGGAGGGAAGCTCAGGTTAGGACACGGGTCCAAAGCTCTGAAGACAGCCTCAGCTGGCGAGACGGAGGAGCCACCAGCATGCAGGTGTACTTGAAGGCACCAGGGTGAGAAAACCGAGGCTACAAAGGAATTGAGGAAGGAGCAGAAAAATTGGAGGAAAGCAGAGAGTGATATTCCACAGGGAGATCAAAGGAAGTGAGGACTACGATGGGCTCCTGGCCTGGGCAGAGCTTCTGTGTGCAGATGGAGGGAGGGATGCTGGCAGCTCCAGACAGCCTCCGCTGACCCCTGACACAGACATATCCAACACCTAGAACATGAAAGAAATGAGTAACTTCACAAGTACACCGAAAACAAGATGCAATCTGTCAGGAATCCAGGAAAGAAGACATTTGAGATTAGACTGAAGATGGAAGGAGAGGTCAGATACGAGAGGGGGTGGGGGGCGCTTCCAGGGATGTGCCTTGCCCTGGCAGGTGGTGGGGACACAAAGTGGCCTAGAAAGGACTGGCGAGTTATCTGTCTAGAGTGCCAGACAGAGCAGCAGGGCTCAGGTCCCCCTGGGCCAAGCAGTACACATAAGCCCTGAGGACAGAGGCAGGCAGGCCCCAGGGCTGGAGAAACCTAGTTGGAAGAGGAGCCCGCAAACCCCCTGGCTGACGAAACACCCTGTCTATCCCCGACAGTCACTGGAGACAGACTGTACATCTGACAGCCCACTGGCTTCCCCTTCTGAGCAGCCTATAGTAATCAGATATGGCATCCCCAGAGAGCCAAACAGGGACTCCCGAGGACCAGGCGAGCACATCACCAAGAGCCACGGGGACTAAGGGAAGCACCAAAACCAGGTAACAGAGGATGGAGTTGGCTGCAGCACAAACTACAAGATTTGAGAATGAGTGCGGCTAAGATTCCAGAGAGATGATTGTCAATACTTAATAAAAATCATGCAAATAAAGAGCCTCATTAACAACAGAGATTCAAAGGATGCTTCTGAGCAGCAGAAGACACACAGTGAAGAATGAACCTGTGGGCCAGATGTCAGAGTCCCAGCAACATCTCAGAACGCAGCACCCAAAACACGGAGACAGAAGTGGTGAAAACAAAGCCAATCCGACACGGAGAACAGACAAAAGCCTTGGTACTTGCCAGGACTGTCAGACTACCGCTGCGAAGCATACAGGAAAGAATTTACAAGTCCACTCTGGCAGCTCATGAGGCTCCCCAAACTGCAGAGGGGAGAGCACGCCATAAAGCATCTCTAGACCCCTCAGCTCTGCCTCGAGCCCCTGAGCAGAGCCCCCATTTTCCTATGCCCCCTCTACCAGTGCATGTGTTGCGTGAGTGCTGAGTCACTTCAGTTGTGTCCCATCTTTGTGACCCTATGGACTGCAGCCCACCAGGCTCCTCTGTGCACGGGAGTCTCAAGGCTTATCACTGGCACCACTTGGGAAGCCTCGCCCTTCCAGGGTCTGGCCATGTATCCCCCCTCCATNCCAAACCTTAACAGTCTTCCCCTCTTGGCAAGTTCTCTGAGCGGCAGGGCAACTCCTGCTCTCTTCCCGCCTTTCTGTCCATGAGTTCTGTGTCTTTGAATTGAAATATAGGTGATTTATAATAATGTACTAGTTTCATTGTATAGTAAAGTGATTCAGTTATATGTATATATTTTTCCAATTCTTTTCCATTATAGGTTATTACAAGATACTGAATATAATTCCCCATGCTACAGAGACCATCCATGTTGCTTATCTATTTTATACGTAGTACTGTGTGTTAATTTCATACTCCTATTTTGTCCCTCCTGTCTTCCCCTTTGTGACTGTAAGTTTGTTTTCTATATCTATGAGTCTACTTCCGTTTTGTAAATAAGATCATTTGTATTTTTTTTTGTATTAGAGTCCACATATAAATGATATCATGTAATATTCATCTTTCTCTGTCTGGCTTACTTCCCTCAGTACGACCATCTCTGACCATCCATGTTGCTGTGCATGTCATTCTATTCTTTTTTATGGCTGAGTAATATTCCATTGTGTGCGTATATGTGTGTGTGTGTGAGAGAGAGAGAGAATATACACCATATCTTCTTCATGCACTCATCTGCTGATGTACACTTAGGTGGCTTCCATGTCTTGGCTATTATGAATAGTGCTGCTAAGAACACTGGGATGTATGGATCTTTTTGAATTAAGAGTTTTCACCTCTTCTAAATATATGCTCAGGTGTGGGATTGTTGGATGACATAATAATTAGTTTTTAGGTTTTTTTAAAGGAAACTCCATACCATTTTCTACAGTGACTACACCAATTTACATTTCCACTAGCAGGGTTCCCTTTTCTCCACACCCTCTCCCATGTTTATTATTTGTAATCAGTCACTGTGGTCACACGCAGGTCCTACGAGTGACAGGCCACCAGTTCACATTCTAAAACACGTGATGTGACTGTAGGTGCTGAGCAGAGATGGACAAAGAAAACTCTAACTGGTCTTCTCTCCTTGGGATATGCAAAAAGACCCCATAAGCTGCACAGAACCATGTTTTTAAAGCACTGAGAAAAGAATACAAGATCCTCCTTTTCAACTTGAAACTTAGAGGAAAGGGAAGTCTTTGAATTTTTGTTCATTTTTCTACTACACATCAGCCTGATATTAAGTTTCTAATTTCTGCTGAAAAGTAGTTAAGGTTATAAATTAACTCTATTGAGAAGTTTTTAATTTTTAAACTCCTTTGACATCACAGAATTACAAAGTTAAGTAGAACTATTTCCATGTCTGCAAACTGGTTACTGTCTATTCATTCTACAAAGTAGAAAGCAAATGTAAGTGCTTTCTAACCCCTCAATACATTACATTCATTTCAAACTATGCAAAACATGAGTTTCTTCATGTTTTAAAACTATTTTTTAAAAAAACATTCAAAAGTGTACAAAGACAGAAAAAACAAAAACCAAACCAAAAAAGAAAAAAAAAAAAAAACAGTCCATGGAAAAAGAACTCTTAACAGAAGCTTCTTCCCCCACAAATCACAAAAGTTGTTTTGAAATTATGGTAGAAATTTTATTTAAAAAGCAAATCCATTAAAAAAAAATTCTTACCTTTAATTTCAGAACAGAATGTTTTCCATCTGATCAAAACAGAGAGAGAAAACTTTGTAAAGTGGAGAAAGACATCTGACAGCTCTGAAGAGTACAATCGTAGGAACTCACCTGCCCACGAGCTGAACCAGCCCATGAGCCAGCCCAGCGCTGAACTGCCCACCTCACCCCCTCGCTGGTTCCTGACCGCCTCCACGGCTCACATGACTGCGGAGCTGAGGCCAAGCTCCTCAGTGTGACTGCGGGCCCTCCCCGCCTTCCCAGCACCCTTGCCCTGTGCCCTGCCAGTCCCCGCGCGGGCTAAGGGGCCCCTCCGCCCTGCCTCCTCTGCCTCCAGCAGCAGTCCACTCGGTCAGATGCTGGTACCTCGACCAAAGGATGGCAGTGTCCAAGCTTCTTGGCTGGGTACCGCTAGGGTACAGGGTGGCACCTCAGGCTGGTAGCCTTCTGACAATAATTATCAGCAAGCATTTACGGAGCATGTTTTGCTTCATGTGTTTGCGTGCGTGCTTTATTGTTCAGTTGTGTCTGACTCTGTGATCCTGTGGACTGCAGCCTGTTACACTCCTCTAGGCAAGAATACTGAAGTGAGTTGCCATGCCCTTGTCCAGGGGATCTTCCCAACCCAGGGATTGAACCTGGGTCTCCTGCACTGGCAGGCGGGTTCTTTACCGGCTGAGCCGCCAGGGAAGCCCTGCTGTGCTTCACTCATACGACTGAACTCAGTCCTTGTAAGACTCAGACTTAGGAGCAGTGGGGTTAAGGAACTGGCCAAGTCTCACGCCACCTGAAAGTGACAATGTCCAGGGGCTTCTAATGCCCGCACCACAAGCCAAAAACCACGAAAGGAGCTTCCCCCTCTCCCAGCCACCACCTGTGCTCCAAGTTCATGTTGCCAAGCGTGCCAGTTATCAGCGCCTTGAACTTCCAACCCCACCTTTACTGCCTGCTCCTGGTACTGCAGCGGCTCTGCTTTGTCGGGTGGTGCAATAATAAACTTCACCAGTAGAGGGTGGAGAAGAGACACCAGAGGAGGAAAGCGCTTGGGTTCCTCATTCCATGGGTCCCTCTTTTTCCCTCCTCTCCTCCCTCCTCCCCTCTTTCTAGACGACCAGCAGCACTTCCCCACGGGCGGCTCCTCCTGGAACTCCCCTACAGATGGCAGCCTTCCAGTGAATTCTGTTAGCACCACACCTAACTTTTCCACCTGCCCACGGCCAGAGCTGCACCTTCCCCAGTGTCTCCATAGCAGATTCTCCAAATGGTCCTTCCCTCGGAGGCCCTATGCTAACTGCATAGGAAGCAGCTGTTCCCTCTGTCATTCCCATATTCTTTAGATTTATTTCTACCCCTTAATAGGCAATCCTGTTACAGTTAATAATTCTTGACATTAACTTTTCCCTGTTCAAATCACCATGGACTTTCTTTCCTTTTTGTCTTTGATTTGGCCACACAGCTCCCCAATCAGGGCTTGAACTTGGGAAGTTCACCAGGGAATCCCTCACCTTGTACAGGTACTTTCTGTCTCCTGATTAGTTCTGACTGATAGTATGATGCATCAGGCACTAGAAAAATAATGCAGACATTGGAAAGTGGATGGATATGTATATATTCAGGATGTTATAAGATTTTTTTTAAAAGGTAGTAAAATATCATGTATTTACATACACATTCTAAGCTGTTAAAATTATACTTGATGGAAGTACAATTATGTATATTTAACTTCATGTATTTCTATATTCTTTATAGTGAGAAAGTATTAATTCTAAAAGAGACATACTTTCTACTTGAACTTAACACACACATGGATTTTCCCACAAAGATAAAATACGCTGTCTAACCAAGTGGCATTTTCTGGCACAGGTATTAGTAGCTGGCACTCTGTCTTCCAATCAGTCCCCTTGTGCTGACTTATTTGAGAGTCTCCTTGAGCCCTGGGATTCCCTGGTGGCTCAGACCATGAAGAATATGTCTGCAATGAGGGAGACCCAGGTTAAATCCCTGGGTCAGAAAGATCCCCTGGAGAAGGGAATGGCTACCCACTCCAGTATTCTTGTCTGGAGAATCCCACGGACAGAGGAGCCTGGCGGGCTATAGTCCATGGACACGACACAGCGACTAACACTTATCTGACTTACTTATCTCCATGAGCCCAAGCAATTCCCTGAGTGTCCTGATAAAGAAGTTATCGGTGCCCACTACATGCCAGGCTCTCCTTCTCACTTCTCAAACACAAGCCACATATTAGGAAATGGAAAACGGCCTTTGCTATCAATGAGCTGAATTCTCTCACTGTGCCAAATGAAATATACAAATGTATGCCGTTCCAAAGTTGTATTATAAACATATCCATGCATTCATTCATCCAAATCACCTGAAGTGACAGCCAGCCATGGGCCAAGCCCTGCTCCAGGCCCTAGAGCCAGCCTGGTGAACAAGACAGACAAGCTCACTCAGCCATCCCGAGGAGACCACTGCGCGCCCGTCCCTCACGGCACCGGTCGTGGGTGCAGAGAGGAAGGAGCGCATGGAGCTCCAGAGTCTGAGCCCTGATGCTTCCCCAGGGACCCTCTCACAACCGAGAGAATGACAAAGCGGACTCCAATGGGAAGGCCTTATACATTAAAGACAACCAAACACCCAGGCAATCATTTTCACTGTATCCCAGGAAAAACAAAGCCCAGGGACATTCCCACTTAAAATCATGGAACCACGGAGGTGCAGTGGTTATACGTTCCTCCAAATTATTTATGACCATAAAATGCTTTTACATCAAATTTTTTTTAGCTTTTTTTTTTTTTTACCTTTTTCTTGTGTATTCTCTGGTGGAATAGGTGAGCTTGGAAACCCATCTTGTTCAGAAATACTTTGCTCATCTTCAGTGTCCACACCATGTGATGATGGAACCTTTTCGTTACAGAAGACAAAGAACAATACATGGTAAGTACTTCTCTATAAAACCTCCTCCCAACAAACTCAGCTGTCTTATTCCATACCCTCTCCACCGCTACCTCCCCTCCAAGACATAAAAGGACTACACCTGTGGGTCCCTTAGGAAAAGCCCAATGGCAAAGGCAGTGCCATCCAAATTATGCTCAAGCCAGCTCAACCTTTTCGGCACCAGGGACCGACTTCATGGAAGACAGTCTTCCCACAGAAGGAGGCGGGGGGTGGGGGATGGTTCGGGCAGTAGTGCGGCCACGGGAGCAGATGAGGTTTTGCTTGCCCACCCACCGCTCACCTGCTGCGCAGCCCAGTTCCTACCAGGATGGTCGGCAGCCCGGGAGTTGGGGACTCCTGGCCTAAGCCATTGAGACCTTCAGAGCTGTGCCCGAGTCGGTCCCTCCCCACGCTACCCAGGCAGCCTGCCTTCCCCACTCCTGCCAGGGACCAACTCGGGACCAGGCGCTGCCTCCAGCCTGCTCTGTGCATTGCCAGCACCACCGTGCCCTGGTGCTGAGGCTGCGCAGTTCACCTCTACGTGGGGCAAGAGCAGCCGACCTGCCCTGTGAGAACGCTCGCCAGGGCAACTGCTGGGGCTCGGGGCCCACTATGCCTGCTGGCTAGGAGTCCACTGTGAGTGTTTCCTGATGGAATGGGACTCTCCCCCCACCAGTGTCTGTGAAAAATTCCCTTGCGGGGTCACGAATGGTAGACCTGCGCCTCACAGACCTGTGAGCCGGGTCTGGGACCACCCTGATGAGCAGGAGGCTGCCTCACTGGCAGGGCTCCGGGATGGGGCGGGGTGTGAGGACAGAGGCTGCCCTAGACGGAGAGCAGTGAACCAGGTCTTGGACGATAAGCCGAGCCTGGTGCTCCCTGGCTGGCTTCCCTTCCACTATCCTGACTCTTTGTAAAACCCTGTATGTGATCAGCCTGGCTTAGCTGTGCTGTGCTGCAGGCCATGGAAGGGCCATCCCCATGGCTGGGAACCGGGCAGCATTGACCAGCAAGATGCCCACAAGAAGGGGCATTTCAGGGCCAAAAGCTAAGGCTCACAGACCCACCAGGCTGGGGGCAGAGGGCTCCGGGGTGACTCGTCTCAGAGCAACAGAAAGGTCTCCCACTCTACTCATCATTGAAGAAATTAAAAAGAAATGAACCTCTTAAGCTTTTAGCTCCTAGGAACTATCTGCCTTGTTTACCCTGTCAAAGGTATATTAAGCTACTCACTTTATTTAGGAAGAATGAAATACTAAGGCAACTCAAATACTTGAAAAGTGAAAGTGAAAGTCGCTCAGTCATGTCCGACTCTTTGCCATTCCATGGACTATACAGTCCATGGAATTCTCCAGGCCAGAATGCTACAGTGGGTAGCTGTTCCCTTCTCAAGGGGATCTTTCCAACCCAGGGTTTGAACCCAGGTCTCCCACATTGCAGGCTGATTCTTTACCAGCTGAGCCACCAAGGGAAGCCCAAATACCATCATAACAATACCCTATTATGGAAAACTGCTTGTTGGTATCTACTAGTAAGAAAGCTGATCGTACCTTATGGCTGATTATACCTTATGATTATACACACACCACTCATCAGTATATATGAGTGGTACATACCCACCACATATGAATGTTCATAGAGCACTCTTCCTAAAAGCTCCAAACTGGAAACAACCAAATATCTACCCTCAGTACATAAGTTACTGGATGTTATAGCTGTCCCATGGGATATCACACAGCAATAAGAATGAACCAACAACTACCACACAAAATGAAAGAAGACTCTCAAAAACTCCAAAGCATACATAATGTATGATTAAAGTCATACAGTCTTTAGAATGTGCTGTGTGCTTAGTCACTCAGTTGTGTCCAAATTCTTTGTGACCCCATGGACCACCAGGCTCCTCTGTCCCTGGGATTCTCCAGGCAAGAATACTGGAGTGGGTTGCCACGCCCTCCTCCAGGGGATCTTCCCAACACAGGGATCAAACCCAGGTCTCCTGTATTGCTGGCAGATTCTTTACCATCTGAGCCACCAGGGAAGGACAAAACTAACCTCAGGTGATTTTTCTAAGATCTAATCTGCTCCTGGAGTCAGGGCAGTAGTTAACTCTGGGGGGAGGAGTGACTCTTCTCAGTCACAGAGGACTTTTGCAAGCTAGCAGTATTGTTCTTCTTCTTTTAATCTGGGTGGAGGCTACTTTGCAAAAATTCACTGAGCTGCACAGTTACAGCTTATGTGTCTTTTGTGTATATGTAATATGTCGATAAATAAGCCTAAAGAATTTGTGACAACATTCTAGAAACACTCTAAGGTTTTAACACAAAGCATTGTTAAAACTACCAAATACTTCTGAGTGTGAAAATCACCTGGGTAACTAAAACAAAAACTGTCTGGGTACTGAAGGGAGAGAGGTGGAAGCCAGGCACCCCAGCCACAGTGCTGCCACCCCAGTGGCCAGGAGTGACTTTCCCGCATCCATCTGCAGCCCTGGCCTAAGCTCCTCCACCCTCCTCCTGGGGAGGATGCCAACTCCGATTATAAAGAGTAAAATGTACATGCTAGAATTTACAGGGTGATTATTAAGGGAAAAAAAAAAACAGCGAATATAACTTTAAGCTAGTTGAGGGAAAGAAACAGAACTAAAAAATCCATCAATCCAAAAGAATGAAAGAAGAAAAAAGATACAGAGTAATAGGACAAGCAGGCAAAACAGAAACGACAGGTTTAAACTCAAATATACCCATGAATACATTAAATATTAAAGAGCCAAAAGTTCTAATAAAAAGACAAAGGAAAATTTTGTCAAATTTGGTTAACAAAAACTATATATTGCATTGAATTATAAACCTTTTTTTTTCGGGGTGGGGGGGTGGTTTGCAACATGTGGGATCTTGGTTCCCCGATCAGGGATCAAACCCTCGTTCCTGCGTTGGAAGTGCAAAGTCTTAACCACTGGACCACCAGAGAAGTCCCAAATTGAACACTTTAAATGGATGAATAGTATGATATTAATATGTAAATTATTTCTTGGTAAACTTAAAAAACAACTAGATGCTGTTTATAAAACACAGCTAAACATAAAGGTGTAGGAAGGTTAAAATTAAAGGAAAGAAAGAAATAGACCGTGCAAATATCAAAGAAAGACGGAGAACATCAGATGAAAAAGACCTTAAGGTAGATCACACTCTCAGAGATAGAGAGGGTCACTAGTGACAAACTGTTCAATTTACCAGGAGGATACAATTTTAAATTTGTACACATCTAAAAATGTCATCAGATGTAAAATAACACATCTTCCATGATTTCACACTTACACAGTTCAAAAGTTAACCTGTGGTATCTTTTCTTCCTTGGAGGTGAAAGTACAGTTTTGGATAACCCGGGAGCACAGTAAGCACGCTTCAGTGTCTAGATTCCTGTGACTGTGGGGCGAGCTGACTATAAGAGCCGGCGCTGGTGAACCCTGGGGGTGCAGAGGGTCCAGCCCCAAACGGCGCTGGCACCTTCCCAGGAGCCTCTCCTCAGATCAGTGACGCCAACGTCGGAGCCCCACCCACAAAGACACAATAAACAGACACGACTGGTGGAGCCACAGAGGGGGCCAGCTGGCTCCACCTCCGGGTGAAGTCCAGGCAAGAGTGTGGTCAGACTGCGCAGAGAACTTGGGGATGGGGGGTGGGGCCACAGGCAGCTCTGATTTGTAAGGTGGAGGGGCCTTGCGGGCCTGCAGTGGGACCTTTGTAGGTTTCACAACATGCTGGACCTCCCCTGGTGTGGGATGTTACAGTGAAGGAAACAAAACATTTGTGGATCCATGCCTCCTCACTGCTGTATGGAAGAGACCTCACTGCACTGCTAGAAGGTGGCAGGGTGCATTCTGAGTGGCTTTTGGAAATCGGCAGGAATGACAGCTTGGTGCCTGATCTGTTCTCCTGGCTTTCTACTGCCATCAGTGGGGGTCAAGCTCATACAGAGGTGCTCACATTGCTGGAGCAGAGTCAGTGGTCCACATGCATACACGCTAACCGCGGGGATGTGGATGTGGAAATGCAGACAGGGAGACTGCAGGCACTCAGCCCCACCCAATCAACAGTCAGCGCCCCTCTGTCTCCCTTGCTGAGAGAATCCTGATTTTGTCTGGTGCAAGTAGGCTCGAATCACAGTAATCCTTCTCTACTTGGCCAGTAACCGGTCAAGGGATGGGCATGCGACCAATGAGCATCCTGCTGGCAGGCTTCCAGAAAAAAGGTTCCCTGTCATCAACAAAGCACTGCCTGGAGGACCATGCCCCACTTCCTTCTTCTGCGGGAAGAATCGGTTGCCTCTGGTGATCACAAAGAGCAGGCCAAGGGAATTTCAGGCTCTGGTGTTCAATAGGCAGCTGAAACAATTTTGGAATCGCCTACCTTTTCACTTTGTTATGTGAGAGTTAAATGTCCATTATTTAAAACTTCTATCTGATTATTTGTAGGCAAGAAGATGATACAGACACAAAGTGACCACAGAGGCTGTCCTGGAGAGAAGAGGAGGGATGGAACGGCAGGCTTAGGGGTGGTGTTTGCTTAAATGCAGCATCAAATGTTTTTATAAGACATGGAAATTCATGTATACTTGGGTAACAGAAAGAAAATCTTAAAGAAACTAAAAGTTAAAAACTGCAGACAGAAAGGGGACACTCCCAATCCTCAACTGCAGCAGCAAGAGTGCCCACTATTCCTTGGTCTCCAGAAGTTTCTAGACATAACTGGTTCTCACACCTGCATGAATGACTCCTCTCTGGACCCAAGCATATGGCAGATACTCAAATACCTGTCTGTGGGCAGTTGGTTGGATGAATAAATGAACAAATGAATGAATATATGGTATTTTATGACAAAATGCTCTGCAAATCCACAAACGCACCAAATAGCAAGAATGTGTGACAGAGGAGCTCTAATAACATCTTATCAGTGATTTCTGTTTGAAAATGGTAGCAGGTATTCTGGGCTCCCCTTGTGGCTCAGCTGGTAAAGAAGTCACCTGCAGTGTGGGAGACCTGGGTTTGATCCCTAGATTGGGAAGATCCCCTGGAGAAGGAAAAGGCTACCCACTGCAGTATTCTGGCCTGGAGAATTCCATGGACTGTATAAGCCCACGGGGTCACAAAGAGTTAGACACGACTGAGCGACTTTCACTTCCTTTCAGCAGGTATTCAAACTATACTCTCCTCACTTAAAACCTACTGAAATCAATTAAAGGAATGAAAAGAAAAAAAGAAAGCTTAGTCAATGGCCAGAAAACAGATACCAAACCTATGAAATTTGGAAGAGAGGGAGAATGTTAGAAGCCGCAAAACCTCCTCAGACTTCAGGAATACAGACGCTCTGACAGTCACAAAGTGTCACAGGTACAAAGGTTCAGCGTGATCCTCCAACAGATGCGCTGACAAGGATGTGACAGTCCCAGGAGACATACAGTCATTCCCACGGGGCAGATGGGAGCGTTGGCGAGGCCATAGGGAAATGCTGAGAGAGCCCACCTTTACTCTCCAGAACCCAACTCTGTGCTCTGAAAGAAGCTAGAAACAGCACAGACTGACATGAGGAATAAAAGAAGAGATCCAGAAGATCAAGAAAAGTGATAATGCAGGACTTCCCTGGTGGTCCAGTGGCTCAGCCTCCACACTTCCAATGCAGGGGGCCCAGGTTCAATCCCTGGTCAGGGAACTAGATTCTACATGCCCCAACTAAAGATCCCTTGTGCCACAATGAAGACCCAGTGCAGTCCAATAAATAAACAAAAATATTTTTACAGGAAAAAAAAAGTGATGAGGCCACAGGAAAATGTGACATAAATCAGCAGAACTCAAAAAAGCAAAAGGCAAAGTGAAATAAATACAGAGGCAAAAGTTATCCCGTGTGCACGCCCAGCTGCTTGGTCATGTCTCTCCCTTTACTACCCCATGGACTGTAGTCTGCCAGGTTCCTCTGTCCATGAAATTTTCCAGGCAAGGATGCTGGAGTGGGTGGCAAGAAGCCATAGGACATAGTGACAAAGTGCTGAGAGAGATAAGGGAACACACAGGAAATCACACAAAGTGATGTTGAGAAGAAAATGGAGGGACAAGGGATCAGAGAAAAGTTATCAGACACGGAAGACAAATAAAGGAGACCCAACAAACGCACATCTTGTGTTCCCAAAGGAGAACGGAATGAACAAAGATAAAATAAAAGAGGGGAGGAACTATTTCCCAGAGAATAAAAGAGGGAGTGAAAAATCTGTGTCTTCAGAATTATGTAAACTAAATTTCAGGAAAGAAGGACAGAAAATAATAAACACCACTGTTAATCCTAGTGAAATTACTGAACTTCAAAAGATGAACCTACGAAAGTTATTAGGCAGAAAAATCAAGTGACCTCAGAGGAGAGAAGAAGGTTGTAACCCCTTCTCTGCTGCCACTCTAGGCCATCCTCTCAGAAAGGTTATATTCGGTCCCATGCGACCAAGTACCCTTCCTTTGTAGCATTCATCATAATTCTAATGGATTAACTTAATTGTGGGACCAGGGATCCTTGTACTGATTCTCCAGCATCTAGCACATGCCTGGTACTCATCAAATGCTGGACAAATAGGTGTCAAATTATTTACTGACCCAAAGACAGTGTCCACACCGACAGTCCTTTACAGGATCGAGACGCTGAGGCACAGGGAGGTTATCTGACTTCCCAAGTCAAACACCTGGGAAGCAGAGAAGCCGGGACTTGGACTCGGATTTCTGAGTGCCCCAGCACTGCTCTTGTTGCTGGGCTCACGTATCGTGCAAACTGACCACGCATTCACACAGCCCGCTTCCCCTCCAGCCTTACTTTTTGTGGCACCAACAAGAAAACTGCTGAAAACAAGACTTGCTTTCCATTTGCTAGGCCATTTCTGGGTGGGTGCACACTTCGCACGAAGATGTTTGCCCAAACTACCCTGAAACACAGAAAGAGGCATGAGGCAGAGACTTATACCCAAACTGCCTGACGTGGCCTGGTCTGTGTCCTTATCTTACTAGTTTTGATTAAAAAGAATAAAGGCATAAATTATTTACCTGAGATTACAAAATGCTTATAGTAAAACTATGGAGCAAACAAGGAGTAAGTGTCTACAGTAAAAATAATACTTAAAAAAAAATAAACTAAACCATACTCCATAGGCAATCTCCTTCACTGCTAGCTCCATCTAGTGATTAAACAGTAGTTTTATATGCACCACATACCGATTCGTTTCAAAGACATGTATTTTAAATTCTGAAAAACAAACAAAAATCTTTATGTCTAGCTTAACAGTCTTGAGAGGCACAAGGACTGTCAACACAAATTCTGATTCTAAATAGGAGAAACAGGTTGTCCTGAGCCGAATCCTGCCTCTGCCACTGGGTGGTAGGCTGGATGATCCCGAGCAAGTCATTTATCCTGTTCTCTCACACGTGTACCCCCACAGGTGTGAAGTAAATGAAATGGCATGTGTGAGCTGTGTGTGTGTGTGTGTGTGTGTGTGTGCGCGCGCCACTCAGCCATGTCCGACTCTCTGTGACTCCAAGGACTGTAGCCCGCCAGGCTCCTCTGTCCATGGAATTCTCCAAGTAAGAATACTGGAGTGGGTAGTCATTCCCTTCTCCAGGGGAATCTTCCCGACCCAGGGATCGAACCCAGGCCTCCTGTGTTACAGGCTGACTCCTCACCGACTGAGCCACCAGGGAAGATATCAGATGCTCAGAAAAAGTCAATGTGTCCTCTTCCCCGTGAGGTACTGATCCTGAGACCATGGGAAACTGAAATCCCGTTCCAGCTTCAGGGCCCTTTCATTCGTTCCTCCGCAGGTTATGATGAGACCTTTCAACTGCAGTCACTTACTAACACTCCACCTTTGGCTCCGCTCCTGGGCTGTACGAGGAAAGGCTTTCCTCTTGGCTGGCATGTGCAGAAAGGTGGAGACCTACATCCACACACTGCTGCTGGGAAGGCAAATGGGAACTACTGCTTTGGAAGACAATTTGGCAACAACCAGTGAGGTACACATATCAAGTGCGCAATGGAATAATCTAAATATTCACCAGTAGGTGAGCGGATAAATAAACTAACCTGTATGCAACTCAAAAAACTACAAAGCTGAGAGGAGGAAAGATGGGTTCCTGTATGGTGACCTCTGTACAATTAAATATATATACATATAGTAACATTTGTTTCCTGATACTTATTTGCAGCAAAAGAATAAAAACAGACTTCCAGAACACATCCCAAATCCAGGAGGAGATGGCCTTCCAGAGATGAAGCAGATGGGAGAGAAAGATTTCAACCTTAACCGTAATTTTCTTTTACTAAAAATTGGAAGCAAAAAAAAAAAAGATAAGATGTCAGTACTTGCTCATCCTGGAGAATGAGAGCACTAATGTGTTACATTATGTTCTGTATCTCAACTGTGGGGGTGCCCAGCTATGGAAAATGCACGTGTTCAGCTTTAATAGATGGCGTCAAACAGTGCCCCTGACAATGGTGGTGCCAACTCCCACTCCCACAGCCCCTCTGCATCCTCCCCAATCCTTGACACTGTTAATTGCCTTGCTCTACTTTTCAAATTTTTAAAACAAATTTCTGTACTGTACATGGGTCCTCGAGCCACTCACACATGCACCCTATGAATGTCAGCTACTGTGGAGAGACGTGTGATGATGCTCCTTGTCAGGCATGAGTCTGAATAAACACTGCAACATATACATACGGAAAAGTGATGGGAAAATTAGCTCAGGGAGGGGGGAGTCAAAGGGAAGAGCAGGATGACAAGCACTGGGTGGAAACCTATGTTAAAGACGTGAAGATGCTTCTCTCTGTTTTTGTAGGATTTGTCTTGAAAGATGAAGGAGTTTTAAATTTTGGGTTTCCTGGGTAGATCAGCTGGTAAAGAATCCACCTGCAACACAGGAGACTCTGGTTCAAATCCTGGGTCAGGAAGTTCCCCTGTAGAAGGGACACGCTATCCACTCCAGTATTCTTGGGCTTCCCTGGTGGTAAAGAATCTGTCTGTAGTGCAGGAGACCTGGGTTTGATCCCTGGGTTGGGAAGATTTCCTGGAGGAGGACACGGCAACCCACTCCAGTATTCTTGCCTGGAGAATCCCCATGGACAGAGGAGCCTGGCGGGCTACAGTCATGGGATCACAAAGGAAAGAGCAGGATGACTAGCATCAGATAGAAACCTATGTTAAAGATGTGAAGATGTTTCTCTCTGTTTCTGAAGGACTTGTCTTGAAAGATAAAGGAAAGAGTTTTAAATTTTAGCCTAATAACGTAGAAAATGAGACTGGACCAATGATAAAAAAATAAAAAATAGGCCCCCAAACAAAAGCCATTAACAGCTGAAGAGAGAAAAGGGACCTATTTTCTATCGCACTAGACACACTTTCCTGTGAGTCAATGTCACGGTGCAGAAGAAACGGGGGAACGCGACATGCACCTGGTTTCTGTGTGGCGCGGCATACATGGCGTCGCTGAGACTTCCCCCTTCCTTTTGAGCGCTGGCGTCTCCGGACTGCCTGCGGCTGGATGACTGGCAGGAGTCAGTGTCCTCGTCCTCCTCATAGCCCACCATTTCAAAGGATGGCAGAGAAGATCTTCTTCCCGCTTCATTCTGCCAGTGCGGTCTGTATTAGAACATGCAAGATCAAGACAGAAGAACAAGCCACTTAACAGCTCACACTGGCTTATATACATGTAGTAAATCACTGTCTCCAAAAGTCCCACTGTGACGTACTATTCCCACATGACAAGATAGGGAGAAGCTAAAGGGTGAAACCATCCGCTGTTCCATCTCTTTGTATACTGGTAGAATTTCATTCCAGTTTTTCACCTAGATTTTTATAGTTATAATCACTGTATACATATACAACTTGCCTCCTTGTTAATAAGTCTTTAAAGTCAGACTTGAGTAGCTACATCAATTCGGTCAGCTATTCCCCTTACTTAGGTTCCCCTCCCCCCTAGATTTTACCGACACAAACAGCTCTGCAAGGAACATTAACGCGCAATCTCTTCTGGATTGAGGATTCAACTCATGAAACAACTGTATGGAGAAAGGCTGAGGCAAGCAGTACTAACATTTCATAGGTCCACATGCATATCCACACAGAATCACTTCCCCAACCTGTGACTATGTCAGTAATAATTGTCTAAAACTTGCCAAAAGAATGTGAGTGAATGGCTAATTCATTTCAATGTATGACAAAAACCACTGCAATGATGTAAAGTAATTAGCCTCCAACTAATAAAAAGAAATGGGAAAAAAATTTAAAAAAAAATAAAAATTAAAAAAAAAAAGAATGTAAGTGAAGTGAAACTCGCTCAATTGTTATCTGACTCTTTGCAACCCCATGGACTGTATAGTCCATGGAATTCTCCAGGCCAGAATACTGGAGTGGGTAGCCTTTCCCTTCTCCAGGGGATCTTCCGAACCCAGGGATCGAACCCAGGTCTCCCACATTGCAGGCAGATTCGTTACCAGATAAGCCACAAGGGAAACCCAAAGAATGTAAACCCCACTGCAAAAATGTGCATTTCTTACTGAGACTGGGTGTTTTTCCATATATTTGTGTGTGAGTCTTGGTTCTTCTATTGTGAATTGTCTGCTCATGTCCTTTGTCCCTTCATTTACTCTGATTCTTGTACATCCATTCCAATTTGAAATGAACTTTTCCACCTACAAAAATTAAAACTCTGACTGTGTATTTACTAGAAACATTTTCCCAATTCTGTTGATTTTATTTTGGCTATGTAAATTTTTTTAAACATGCAGATGATATAAAAAAAATTTTTTTTTTTTAACCTTCCAAATTCTTAGCTCAGAAGTAAAGAGTAGTCATCTCCCTCTGAGAGGTTTGATTAGACTGGATATAGGACTTCGTTATCTTATTTCTATGTATATACAAATTAAGCCTCTCGTTCAATGGGAATTTGTTTTGGTGCGTGAATTATGCAAGGCTGAAACCTGATTTTTTTCTAATGCTGCTAATGAATAAACTGTTGAATACTGTCCTTTCCCTTTGATCTGTGGGGCTGCTTTTTTTAGAGATTCAATATGCCTGCAAACACTAGGCTCACCTCAGGGCATTCTTGTGCACCTCTTATCGCTGATCCAACACTCCTTTAACTACTTCAATATGTCTTAAAATATGATGGGGCTAATGCTGCCCTCCCTGAGTCAATATTCTTCCCTTCTAGATACCCTTTTACAGTCTTATCTGTATACAGATAAGAATACAGATTATTTTTTCCAGTGAATTTCAAAATCACTTCCTCATCTTCAGCTTTTATTCAGCCAAAGTATAAATTCTCAGCAGGAGAAAAACAGGCTATATTCAAATATCTCAAAAATGGAATCAAGATTAAAATGCAAAAACATAAACACATCCTAGTGTAGCTCAGTCAGTAAAGAATCTACCTGCAATACTAAAATCCACCTGCGATGCAGGAGACCCAGGTTCACTTCCTGGGTCTGGAAGATGCCCTGGAGAAGGAAATGGCAACCCACTCCAGTATTCTTGCCAGGAAAATCCCATGGACAGAGGAGTCTGGCGGGCTACAGTCCATGGGGTTGAAAGAGTCGGGCATGACTTAGCGACTAAACCACCAACATCCTAGAAGGAAATATGTGAGCATTTGTATAACGCTGCAATAAGGAAAATCTTTCTAGATTTGACAATAATGTCAGAACTACAAACACTGATACTTCTTACTACATAAAAAATACAGAATTTTTTGGTATGTTAAAAAGAAAAACTCAAATATCAAAATTGAATAAACATGGCAATAAAAAAAGTCAAATCTGATAATGTATTCCTCACTCCAAACCCATGAGCCCTTAAAGTGTCTTCTTACTGATCCCTGGGGAAACACCAAACCTTGGAACAGGATGCCAAAGGTCCCCCAGCCTGCCCACTCCTCCAGCACCATCTCAGAAGACTCCCCACCTCACTTGACTCCTCCCAGCCACAAATATCCTCCCCTTCAGATGCTCACATGTGTCATACTCCCTCTTCTCTGTTAAGCTCATCCCGGCCATGCTGACCACCTCCCAGCCCTCAGGCCATTCCCAGCTGGTTCTTGCACATCCCACAGCTCTCCCCCAATGCCTCCTCTCTCGGGAAGAAACCTTCCTGATCCTTAGCCGTTTGTCAGCGCTAACCCAGCTCAAGCAATAGAGAAAATGATGTTAAAGAAGAAAGGTTACAGTAGAGGCATCAACAAAGGTAAATTCAACAGTGTGACCGGTCAGAGAGGACACTCACGAGAAGCTGTGACTGACAACTCGCCATCTAAGGTTATGGCTAAAAGCAGCACTGAATTCACCGGCTCGGTGCTGCCACCAGTGTCTTCATAAGCTATAAATTAACAAGATCCACTCTGGAGAAAATCTGGATACAATTCAAGACTGATTAATGTTCCAGGACACTATTTCTTTGACATGGTGATGAAAACCTGCGTGCTAAGCTCTAGTCACAACCACACACACAGGCGCGCGCGCGCAGAGCTGCTCCCCCTCTGCCCTGAGAGGAAGCCGAGCCCAGGACACGGTCCTTACTGATGCCTCAGCTCTGAGGTAGTGGCGTAGGGCTCGATCAAACTGTCCTTTTCCATGTAGGTCATGTCGCTCTCAGAGTGGGATCTCCGGCGAGGCTGAGGAATGGCAACAGTCCGGCCAGTCAGTGTCGTCGCTAGAATGGCTGCGGCCAGAGCAGATCTGTGGACAAAATCACCGCAGTGAGTCAGTGAGACACGAACCCTCAAGTTGAAGGTTGAACAACAGGACACGTGAATTAATCAAGGTTTACTTTCAGCTCTACAGTGTTCAGAGCGTATCTACTGACTATATGCCTGCCGTCGGCCGGCTATGTGCCACTGCTTCATTCTCACAGCAACTGCATGAATCGATAATATTGTCATCTCCATTTTTCACAGACATTAAATGACTTGTCTAAGCTTTCCTAGTTAATGGAAGATGAAACCAGGTTTGTGATCCAAGCAGTCTATATTCAGGTAGCATTCCTATTAGAATGAAAGATCGGAATGGGGGGGAAAAAAAGAGAGAGAGAAATAAAAAGATATCAAAGAAATGAAAAGGAATTTGAAAGTCTTGCAAACTATTCAAAACTATAATACAGGAAGGTGTGAAAATGTTAGTTGCTCAGTCGTGTCTGACTCTTTGCAGCCCTGTGGACCGCAGCCCGCCAGGCTCCTCTGCCCGCGCAATTCTCCAGGCAGGAACACCAGAGCGGGCAGCCGTTCCTTTCTCCAGGGGATCTTTCCAACCCAGGGATCAAACCTGAATCTCCTGCACTGCAGGCAGATTCTTTACCATCTGAGCCACCACGGAAGCCTATAATAAAGGAGAGAAGGGATAACAGGTTTTCCCTCCCACCTGAAAAATCAAAACAAACAATTAACCGTCCCAGCGTGCTGCCTGAGCGGGTGTCCGGGTTACAGCAGAGAGAGGAAATGCGGTGGAGCGGGACAGACTCTCAGTTGTGGGGATGGAGTGGAGGGTCGGCGGACACCAGCGCAGATAGAGTCTGCAGGACAGGGTACCAGAGAGGAGAAAGCTGAGCGGAGAGAACTCCGGAAACCTGCAGGAGGCCCCACCGAGAGCTCGCAGAATGCTCCTCAGTGCTGAGTGCAAGGACACTGCCCAAGGCGGGGGCAGACCCACCCAGGAGGATTGGAGCGGCAGTGCCAGGCGCTTACACACGGCTGCGGACAGCGCCTGCTCCCGCCAGGCAGATGGGAAACCGTGGTAATTTGGGGGACATTGGTACAGCACTCCGAAAGTAGTGGAGAATGAACAGCCCTAGATTGAAAACTGCTCTGACCCTGCCTAACAAAGCATGAAAGCAAGACCCAAAAGATCAGTTCCACGTAATTTAACTGTCTCCCAGAACAAAATTCAACTAGACCTATAGGAATACAAAAACACCCAGCACTCAGGAGGTGAAACTCACGACAGTGTCCAGCATGCAATCAAAGATAACCAGACATGCAAAGAGACAGAAAAACATGACCTAAAATGAAGAGAATAATCGATCAAAACCCATCCAGAACTGAACTCACATTAGAAGCAGCAGAGACAGACGTTAAGACAGTTATTATAATTGTGTTTCATATGTTCAAAAAGCTAAGCAGGAACATGGAACATTATTTAAAAGACCTGAACTTCAGGAGATGGAAATTACATCAGATGGGATCAACAGTTAGGTTACATATTGCAGAAAAATTAGTGAAACTTGAAGGTAAAACAATAGAAAATAACCAAAATGAAACACAGAGGGAAAAAAAAAAGAGAATAGTAAGATCTGAGATTAAAAAAGGAATTGGTTCATGTTTTAAGCCACTACATTTTGGGAATTCTCTGGCAGTTCAGTGGTTAGGACTCCTTGCATTCACTGCTAAGGGCTTGGGTTCAATCCCTGTTCAGGGAACTAAGATCCCACAAGCTGCTCGGCATGGCAGGAAAAAAAAAAAGCCATTAAGTTTTGGTGTAATTAGTCATATGCCCAATAAATAATTTTCATCAAATGGTGCTGGAACAACTGACTACCCACATGCAAAAAAGACTTCCCCAGCAGCCCAGTGGTTAAGAATCCATTGTCCAATGCAGGGGATGAAGGTTCAATCCCTGGTTGGGGAACTAAGATTTCACATGCCCCCAGGCATCTAAGCCCTTGAACTGCAATTACTGAGCGCACGTGCCCTGGAGCTCGCTCGGACACGTGCCAGAGCTAGAGAGGAGCCTGCATGCTGCAACAAAAGAAGATCCTGTCTGCTGAAACGAAGACCCAATGCAGCCAAAAATAAATAAGTAAATAAAAACATTTTTAAAAATAAACAAACATGATGGAATTATATTTTTTTAAAAAGTGAACTTGAATCCATACCTTGCACACCATATACAAAAATTAATTCAAAATGTATCACAGACCTAAATGTAAAGGCTAAAAGTATAAAACCTCTAAAAGAAACTATAGGAGAAAATGCTTTATGACCTTGGGTAGGCAAATATTTCTTAGATATGGCACTGAAATCATGATCTATAAAAGAAAAAAGTTCACAAGTTGAACTTCACAAACATTAAGAATTTCTGCTCTCTGCAAAACTGTTAGGAAAATGAAAAGACAAGACACGGATGAGAAGAAAATATTTGCAAATCAGGTATTTGATTTAAAAACTTATTTTATATTCAGTAATAGTCAATCCTAAAGGAAATCAATCCTAAATATTCATTAGAAGGACTGATGCTAAAGCTGAAGCGCCAACAGTTTGGCCACCTGATGAGAAAAGCTGACTCACTGGAAAAGACCCTAATGCTGGTGAAAGGTTGTTGCTGAATAAGATGCCGGGATTCTTGGCCTCCGGAGGAGATGAATTCAATCCGGGGCCAGAGACGAGGCTGGATCGCTCAGAGCTTTTGTGTAATAAAGTTTTATTAAAGTATAAAGGAGATAGAGAAAGCTTCTGTCATAGGCATCAGAAGGGGGCAAAAGAATAACCCCTTTTGCTAGTGTTAGCAATGGAGTTATATACTCTCCAATGAATCCAAAGAATGTCTGGAGGTTGCAAAGACCTCACCAGACCCACTCCCATTACATTTTAAGATAACAGAGTTGGCTAGAAGGTTTAATCCAAAGATTGTCCTCAGGCAGGATACATCCTTGTAAAGACCAGACCTACTCCCATAATTTATGTTTTAAGATAACAGAATTAGCCAGAGACTGTCCTCAGGCAGGATACATTATTGTTATATAATCCTAAGGAATGTAGAGGAAAAAANCGTTTGGAGACCCCTGGCCTTCCTGCCTGTTACCCTCTCACTGGGAAAGATCGAAGGCAGGAGGAGAATGGGAAGAAAGAGGATGAGATGGTTGGATGGCATCACCGACTCAATGGACACGAGTTTGAGCAAGCTCTAAGAGTTGGTGATGGACAGGGAAGCCTGGCGTGCTGCAGTCATAGGGTCACAAAGAGTTACACACGACTGGGCAACTGAATGGAACTGAATAGGAAAACAATTCAATTTTTTGAAGTGGGCAAAAGATGTTAACAGATTGTTTACCAAGAAAGATATACAAGGGCAAATGAGCATATCAAAAGACGTTCAACACCATTAGTTAGTAGAGAAATGCAAAATAAAACCATAAGGATGCCACTACACACCTATTAGAGTGTCCAAAAGTTCCAAGACTGGCCAAGATCATCCCTTCAACCCGGACCTGGCACAATGGCTCCCACAAAGCGAGACAGCGAGAGGAGGTGGTCAGCCAGCCATCAACAAGGCGATGGCCAGAGAGTACCCCACCAGCATGCACAAGACATCCAGGAAACAAGCTTCAAGAAAGGTGGCCCTGGGAACCCCTGAAGAGATCCAGGAATCGGCCAGGAAGTTGACAGGAACTATACAGGTGTGCACACTGACTCCAGACTCAACAGAACTGTCTGCACCAAAGGGATAAGGAATGTTCTATACTTTATCAGTGTGGTTGTCCAGAAGGGGTAATGAAGATAAAGATTCACCAAACAAGCTCTGAACATTGCTACCTATGCCCTGGTCACTCCTTCAAAGCCCTACAGACAGGGCACTTTCCCGGTGGTCCAGGAGTTAAGCATGCGCCATGGCACGCAGGGGACACAGGTTCCATCCCTGGTCAGGCCATGAAGATCCCGCACGCCACACAACAACTACGCCCACATGCCAACTGCCGCAACTACAGTGTCCGTGCACCACAACTAAAGATCCCCTAGGATGCGGTGAAGGCCCGGTGCAGCCAAATAAACAAACACTTTTTAAAAAGATTATAAAAAAGTCTATACAGTCAACATGAACGAGAACCAACACCTAATCGTCAAATAAAGTTATAAAACCACACACACACACCTGACCAAACCAAGTGTTGGTAAGGATATGAAGAAATGGATGGAAACTCACACTGCGCTGGTAGGACCATACATAGAATAATAATTTGGGAAATAGTTTGGCAGTTTCTTAATAGGTTAAATATTATCCTGACTACGCTAAAGCTTTTGGCTGTGTGAATCACAACAAACTGTGGGAAATTCTTCAAGAGATGAGAATACCAGAACTTACCTGTCTCCTGAGAAACCTGTGTGCAGGTTAAGAAGGAACAGTTAGAACTGGACATGGAACAACAGACTGGTTCCAAATTGGGAAAGGAGTACGTCAAGGCTGTGTATTGTCACCCTGCTTATTTAACTTATGTGCAGAGTTCATCATGTGAAATGCCAGGCAGGATGAATCACAAGCTGGAATCAAGATTGCTGGTAGAAATATCAACCTCAGATATGCAGATGATACCATTCTAATGGCAGAAAGTGAAGAGGAACTAAAGAGCCTCCTGATGAGTGTGAAAGATGAAAGTTAACATTCGAAAAATGAAGATCATGGCATCCAGTCCCATCACTTCATGGCAAATAGAAGGGGGAAAAGCGGAAGTAGTGGCAGATTTTATTTTCTTGGGCTCTAAAATCACTGCAGATGGTGACTGCAGCCATGAAATTAAAAGACACTGTCTCCTTGGAAGGAAAGCTATGACAAACCTAGTCAGCCTATTAAAAAGCAGAGACATCACTTTGCTGACAAAGGTCTGTCTAGTCAAAGCTATGGTCTTTCCAGTAGTCATGTACGGATGTGAGAGCTGGATCATAAAGAAGGCTGAGTAATAAAGAAGGGATATTTTTGAATTGTGCTATTGGAGAAGACTCGATAGGCCTTTGGACTGCAAAGGGATCAAACCAGTCAATCCTAAAGGAAATCAACCCTGAATATTCACTGGAAGGCCTAATGCTGAAGCTAAGCGCCAATATTTTGGCCACCTGACATGAAGAGCTGACTCACTGGAAAAGACCCTGTTGGGAAAGAAGGAAGGCAAAAGCAGAAGGGGATGGCAGTGGATGAGATGGTTAGATAGCATTACTGACTCAGTGGACATGAATTTGAGAAAATTCCGAGAGATAGTAGAGGGCAGAGGAGCCTGGTGTGCTGCAGTCAATGGTGTTGTAAAGAGTCAGACACGACTTAGCAACTCAACAACAACTATGTGATTCAGTCATTCCACTCCTAGATATTTTCGCAAGAGAAATGAAAGCACAGGGCCAAAGATTTATGCACAAATATTCATAGCAGCTTTATTTCTAGTAGCCAGAAATGGAGAATCATCCCACCAGTTGCTGAATAGACAGGTGAATGGACAGACAATTGCATATTCACATAATGGAATGCCATTCAGCAGTTAAAAGGATGAATTACTGATTTTCACAATATGGATGAATCTCAAAATAATTATGCCGAGTGTAAGAAATCAGCATAATTGTTTTGTGTAATTCTGATTCTATAAAATACTAGAAAATGCAGACTAATCTATGGAGACAGAAAGCAGATGGAGGGCTGCCTGGGAGGGTGGGGCTGACATGTGGGAAGTGAGAGAGTGGGAGGGAGGAATTACAGAGGGGCACAAGGAAACTGGAGGGGAAGGCAGATATAGTAATTATCTTGACAGTGATGGTGATGGTCTCACGGGTATAAACACACATCAAAACTTATCAAAATATTCATTTTAAATATCTAAGATTATATGTCCATTATATCATAAAACTGCTTTAAAAAAGATAGAAGACTGTCTAAAGCAGAAATAAGAACAATATACTTTGGGATTTATAACATATAGAATTGAAATGTGTAACAACAGTAGCAAAGGATGGGAAGGAGGAAATAGAAAATTCTTACACTGTTACACGAGGCGCAAACTGGAATAATGCCAGTGGAATAACATTAATTTGAATGTTAGTTTTCAGAAAAAAAATTTCCTAGAAATAGGCCAAATTTACCAAAACAATGTTGATTATTTGGGACTTATAAAAAATTACAGTCCAGAAAAATAATTTTGGAAAACATAGGAGACTATAGAGATCTTCTAATGAGTCTACAGCACACTGGCCACAATATGGCTGCTACATAAACATTTAAGTTCGGTTTTTGTTTTGCGTTTATTTGGCTGTGCCAGGTGTTAGTTACAAAATGTAGGATCTCGTTCTCTGACTAGGGATTGAACCTGCGCCCCCTGCATTGGGAGCATGGTCTTAGCTACTGGACCACCAGGAAGTCCCCCAAAACATTTAGGTTCTAAGGGCACAACTTAAGGGTTGTTCACACAAAAACTGAAGAACCAGGCAGACCCACAATCCATCTCAGCAATGACACCACCCACCAACCATGAAGACTCTGGGTCAATGACTAACACCTGAATCAAAACAGAGCCGCCAATAGGACCTCTCCCCCAGGTTTGTTGAGAGGATGATATGAAACAATGCTTCTTAAGCACTAACCAGAGTCCTTGGCACAAAATAAACACTAATAAACGGCTATTCTTGTTATCAAGATTGCACTGAAGGAAAAAACAAACACTAAAAATACTTTGCTTCCCAGGTGACGCTATTGGTAAAGAACCTGCCAATACAGGAGATGTAAGAGATGAAGGCTGATCCCTGGGTTGGGAAGATCTATGAATCTCAAAATAATTATGCCGAGTGTAAGAAATCAGCATAATTGTTTTGTGTAATTCTGATTCTATAAAATACTAGAAAATGCAGACTAATCTATGGAGACAGAAAGCAGATGGAGGGCTGCCTGGGAGGGTGGGGCTGACATGTGGGAAGTGAGAGAGTGGGAGGGAGGAATTACAGAGGGGCACAAGGAAACTGGAGGGGAAGGCAGATATAGTAATTATCTTGACAGTGATGGTGATGGTCTCACGGGTATAAACACACATCAAAACTTATCAAAATATTCATTTTAAATATCTAAGATTATATGTCCATTATATCATAAAACTGCTTTAAAAAAGATAGAAGACTGTCTAAAGCAGAAATAAGAACAATATACTTTGGGATTTATAACATATAGAATTAAAATGTGTAACAACAGTAGCAAAGGATGGGAAGGAGGAAATAGAAAATTCTTACACTGTTACACGAGGCGCAAACTGGAATAATGCCAGTGGAATAACATTAATTTGAATGTTAGTTTTCAGAAAAAAAATTTCCTAGAAATAGGCCAAATTTACCAAAACAATGTTGATTATTTGGGACTTATAAAAAATTACAGTCCAGAAAAATAATTTTGGAAAACATAGGAGACTATAGAGATCTTCTAATGAGTCTACAGCACACTGGCCACAATATGGCTGCTACATAAACATTTAAGTTCGGTTTTTGTTTTGCGTTTATTTGGCTGTGCCAGGTGTTAGTTACAAAATGTAGGATCTCGTTCTCTGACTAGGGATTGAACCTGCGCCCCCTGCATTGGGAGCATGGTCTTAGCTACTGGACCACCAGGAAGTCCCCCAAAACATTTAGGTTCTAAGGGCACAACTTAAGGGTTGTTCACACAAAAACTGAAGAACCAGGCAGACCCACAATCCATCTCAGCAATGACACCACCCACCAACCATGAAGACTCTGGGTCAATGACTAACACCTGAATCAAAACAGAGCCGCCAATAGGACCTCTCCCCCAGGTTTGTTGAGAGGATGATATGAAACAATGCTTCTTAAGCACTAACCAGAGTCCTTGGCACAAAATAAACACTAATAAACGGCTATTCTTGTTATCAAGATTGCAGTGAAGGAAAAAACAAACACTAAAAATACTTTGCTTCCCAGGTGACGCTATTGGTAAAGACCCTGCCAATACAGGAGATGTAAGAGATGAAGGCTGATCCCTGGGTTGGGAAGATCCCCTGGAGAAGGAAATGGCAACCCACTCCAGTATTCTTGCCTGGAAAATCCCTGGACAGAGGAACCTGGCAAGCTACAGTCCATGGGATCACAAAAGAGTCGGACAAGACTGACGCAATTTAGCACACATTTAGCACAAAGATACTTCGAAGTGTTTATCAGGAGGCATACAATATTTCCAGTTTCAAAGAACACGAAAAAGAAGGTACTACATTTGAATAAACTTATCTCTCATTGTTAAGAGTTAAGGCATGCATCCACGTATTTTATGAATAAAGAATAATCTAAAACTCTTCTCTGTGTCCAAAATCTTAAAGAGGACACAGGCAGGGGCCTTAAGTACAAAAGAAAGTCCATTCTCTGGTGTGACAGGAGCATGGGAGGAGGGGGAATCACAGGCTTTGGCAAGTGAACTTGCTTCTCCTTCCTTCCTGCAAAGCAGTTCTTCTGAAAGGCAGACTTGAGTTTAAAAAGAAAATTATGTGCATAGTTTAAATACTTTTTAACATACTATCCACCTAAATGTTTGGGCTTTAATGTTTTCTATTTTGAAATTTTGCTTTGGAGGAGGAAGTGGCAACCCACTCGAGTATTCCTGCCTGGAGAATCCCATGGACAGAGGAGCCTGGCAGGCTACAGTCCATGGGGTGGCAAGACTGAGTGACTAAACCACTATGAAATGCGAGAACTCCACAGACCTGATGGTCCAGATCATGAACCCATGGAGAAACCATATGAAGCGCTTCATTATGGAACCAGGATGGCATTTCAAAGGACATGATCCTAATCACTTTACCTCTGATTTTCTTACCCGTTTAACAGCTCTGGGACCCAGCACTTGGTGGCTGAGCTTAGGGGGCGACCTTGCTGCCGGCGCACCTGACTTACCTTGGTCTCTCTGGAGAGGGGTTGGGGCTGCGCGGAGGGGGTGTGCGGGGCACAGCGGGCTTCGGTGCAATGCTGGCTGCAGGGAGAAGGCCATGGATGATGTATTTCTGTGGATATGAAACCCGGCAGAGGTCAGCGGGATCATCTCTAGGTCCTGCGAGCAGCCCTCCTTGGGTCTGGGAGGGGACATCTGCCCTGCTCATCTCGGGATCTAGTTCCATCAGAAGGCCCAGTCCTCCCCAACTATCCTCCACCCTATCTGGCAAGACAAGTGTGCCCACCCAGGGAGCTGCCCACTGTCCTTCGAAGGGGCCCTCTCATCCTTCCTTCCTCAGAAGAGCTTCCCCGACGATGACCCAGAGTCACCCTCCAGGACCCCACTGGACTCCCAGCACTGCCCCTGCTGACCCTACTTGCTGCCCGCTCGCCCGCCTCCTCCTGCAGAACAGAAGCTTCCTGAGAGCAGGCAACCTACTTGTTCTTATCAACCCTGGAACTCTGGTACTTAGCACGCTGCCTAACACCTGGTAAGGGTTAACAAGGATTTTAGGTCATTTATCTTGAAGATAAACAGAGTAACAAACACTGGTTTTTACACACAATCAAACTCAGACAACCCAGCTTTAGGCAGGGCTGTCTGTGAGTGTAGTCCAATCTTCATTTTCCGTGCACCAGCCATTCGTGTGAACTTACTAAAGGCAAAATGCCCTGACAGCACTGAAGAAACCTGGTCCTCATTCTCAAGGAGGGAGAATCCAGAGGAAAAACACTCAGCTGTTTATAATACGACACAGAATTATAGACAGCAGCACGGGAGAGGTAAAGACAGTGTGCGGAGGTGACCCAGGGAGAGAAGGGCTCCTTCAGGTCTGAGGCCAGCAAGGGGACCACTGATGTCCTGTTGGAGAAAATCTCAGAGCATTTAGATGGGGTCTTCAAAGATGCCCACTGCTTTCATACTTAGGAAACGGGGTAGAAAGACATTCCAGGAGGAGGGAGCAACATGAACAAAGGGATGAAGCAAAACATTAGTGACAGTGTGGTGAAAATAAATACTCCAGTTCACTGGACTACACAGGCATCTGAGATGAAGCGGCTAGAACGACTGGCTGGGGGTACAGTGAGGACTGTTTCCATTTAACAAGTCTTGATACCAGACTAAGGAAATCTTGTGACTTAGTGAGAAGCACCCACTGAAACTGGCCCTGGGAAAGACTAGTCAGGTTGGGATAGGCACAAGGTACCAAGGAATGGTAGGCACAGCCAAGGGGAGGAACCAGGGGACTGGAAATCGTCCAGGAGTGAGGGATGAGCAGACCTTCCAAATGTCTCCTGCAGCGTTCCCACCCCCATTCTCCCAGTTCCACGTGACGGCCAACCCCAAGAGCAGGTGCTCCAGAGCCACGGCTGCTGGAGCAGCCATTCTCCAGAATGTATATTTGTCTGCCGCCTCTCCTACCCCTCACTGCCTGGCAGAGGCTGAGGGACAAGGAAGCCTTTTCTTCACCTTTGAATCCCCAGGGGATAGCACCCAGTAGGTCCTCCAAAAAGGCCTTGTGAGCTTTGTTTATTTTTTTGATGGGGTGAATCTCCTATAGTAGGCTGAGTGTTTCTGCCCTGTACCACGATAATCACTTCCTAACTATGGTTCTCCTGCCTCAGTCTCCAAAACACAGGATGGTCCTATCTCAACCCAGCACACAAACTCCCGTGGGAAGCCCCCCTCTCTTGTTGACAGAAATGTCCTCTCGTGGCCCAGACAGCTGCTACGGCTGCTGTCCGCTGGTTCCTAGCAATGGCCGGCCCTCCTCATCACTACTGTAAGGTTATCTCCATGCCGCAGCACTCAAAACTGCCTTCCCATCTCCACACAGCAAATGATTCATCCTTTGTCGGGCTTTTGTATATGCTGTTTTCTCCACCTGGAAGTCTCCTTCCTTATTTTTCCCCAGGCCCAGGTCAACTCTCTGGGCTGACTTTGCTGGCCCTTTCCTGGTACCCACCGCGAGAGCACTTTTTTACCATTTTGCACTGAATGACTTATGGGTTTGTCTACCCTTTAGCCAGCATGGCCATAGGCTCTCAATCAATTATGGGGTATCTGGTACACAGACACAGTAGGAATTCAGTAACACAATAAAAACATCAATAAACACGCTGAGTTAGCAAAATCGCAACGGCAAAATATGCTTCATTCAACTATGCCTTCACTGCTTCTCAACATCCACCTGTCTAAAATGACTTCCCTGGTGGTCCAGTGGTAAAGAATCCTCCTTCCAATGAAGGGGAAGCAGTTTCAATTCCTGGTAGGAAACTAAGGTCCCACATGCCTCAGGGCAACTAAGCCCACACACCACAACCAGAGAAGTCCTCACCCCTTGCAGAGAAGACCCAGCACAGCCAAAAAAAAAAAAAAGACTCCAGCAAGTCATAGAACTGAGAACAGGAGGCTGAGTTAGACATGCTTTAGGAATTCCAATTTGAAAGGGAGTTCAGGAGTACCCTTATCAAAATACTTTCTCTGCATTTAAAGTACTGAGTTTATGGAGAACTGGATGTAAGCAGGTTTGGGGGTTCATCAGACAAGTATGAAAAAGAAAAACGGGAGGAAGGCGACTTGGGTGGAGGGTAGTGGTTATAATGATGACCTACGGAATGAGAAATTAGGACTGGGAAAGACAGCAATGAGGACACTGGTAGGATAAGTAGACCGGGGCACGGAGGGGGGTTGGGGGTAGGGTGTCAAAGAATTGTCGGTATCACGCTTACAAATAGGAGGAGGGGTCAACGGATGAGCCTGGGAGTGTGTGCCGGCAGTGGCAGAATTGCTATGGAAGTTTTGGAGGGAAGCATTCCAGGCAGAAGAAAAAGTAAAGGCTGAAGGAACAGCAAGGCGGGAAGAGCTGGAGCTTACATGTGTGTGACTTGAGGGCATTGGGCACGAACCAGAATTGCATTTTAAAAGAATCCCTTTGGGTGTTTTGTGAAGCATGGACATAGGGAAAAGGAAGGAGTGGAACCGAGAAACAGGGAGGAGCTGCCGCAGCAGTCCAGGCAGACGCTGGAGGACGGGGTAGGAGCCGGGATGGCTAGTAGATGCACATGGTGGAGTGTACGTGGTGCGTGGCGGAGGGGGGAATCCAGAATGACACCCCACCGGGAACTACAAAGTAGTGTGTCGGCAGGAGTGAACTCCCCGACGCCCGAGCGAAAGTTACAGGCGAGACAGGGCGAGTCCTATCAACTGAGACCAACACTAGAATAGAAAATTAATGTTCTAAACACTAAACAGTTGGGCTTCTCGAAAGGAAAACCACTTCCTGTTGGGCCGCTATCTTGCCTCCATCCCAAACCCCAACCCCTCCCCACTTAACTCCCGGCCCCACGGGCCAGAACGCAGGCTGGGTGCAGATATACTTACATACTGCTTCTTGCGTCCACTCCGAAACCCCAGGAGCATCCTTGCTGTGGCTGATGGTCAGACCCTTACTGGACTGTACAGAAGATCGGAGCTGAGGACCACTCCCCAAAGTGCCGACGCCTCGAGTTGGCCTAGCCCCAGACGCCTTTTCCCAGCTACCGACTTCGCAACAACCACGTCTGCCATTGGCTCCGCTTTTGCTCCGGCCAATTAGAGCGAAAGTTACTTCACGTCCGTCGCTCTTGGCAACCAGCGGGTACCACCCAAATCCTCACGGGGGCCTCGCTGTCCATTCTCTTATTGGTCAGATCAGATGTCGATCTCTGAGGCCATAGCCTATCCGGCGCCAGGGGAGGCGGAGGGCGGGCAAGAGGAGAGAGTAGCGGGGCGCTCAGGAGGCAACCCGGAAGTGTTGCTAAGCAGGTAATGTTGCGGGAGTCCCAGAACTGGTGCCGAGGTGGCCAGCTCGGCCCCCGCCCTGAACTGGACTAAGGAGCCACGGTGCGGACCGAGCCAGGGTTTCAGGGGCAAGACAGGTGACGGAAATAAAGGACGCTTCTTCCAGGACAGGACTCTCCTGGTTCTTAGACTTTGGTCTGTAATCCAGCCTTTTAAAGAACACTCTGCAGTCGGGCGCCTGCCAAAGAGGCCCGGGCTTCGAGTGAAATGGGCTGTGTGCTGGAGAATCTGCTTAAGTGCCGTCTTGCATTCCCCTCATTAGATCGAGGCCGCCGATGGAAGGCAACGCCCCTGATGGCACTGGCCCCATGCATGTACCATTTGGGCACATTGTGGCCAACGAGAAATGGCGCGGTTCGCAGCTGGCGCAGGGAATGCAAGGTCGGTGGGCTCCCTCTCTCACCTCACCCCACTTTTTTAAAAAGTTCCATCTGTTGCCGTGTTTTCATCTAATGAACACGGCACTTATTTTCTTGTCTGTGTTTTAAGGGAAAATTAAACTCGTTTTTGAGGATGGCCTGACACCGGTAGATTTTTACTTATCTAGCAAATCCTGCCTTATTTACGTCACCGAAGCTGAGTTGGTGGCAGGAAATGGCTACAGAAAGAGACTTGTTCGGGTTAGAAATGTAAGTACTGAGTTAAAGAAATGGACTTCTTCCCCCTCCCTTGGAATAATCTGTATAAAACCACTGGCCATTGCACCTTAATCTTGAATGGAATTTTGTTACCGAATAGTTTCCTGTTTCTTTTCTTTTCTTTTTTGAAGTCCAATAAACTTCAAGGGATTGTGGTGGTTGAAAAAACGCAGATGAGTGAACAGTATTTTCCAGCTGTACAGAAGTTTACTGTTCTGGATCTTGGGATGGTGTTGCTTCCGGTAGCCAGCCAGATGGAAGCATCCGGCCTCATTATTCAGTTGGTAAGTACCCATTCCTACTCCTCCACAATAGCCCTGGTTTAGGACTTTTGACTGATCTTCCTGGATCCTTTTCTGGCCCCTGCCCTTATTATCTGTACAATCCATGAAGCCAGTCTTTATCCATCTCTGGATTGGTTTCTAAAATCTTTTTGATGAATTTAAGTTCAGAAGCTCCCTCTGCAGCTAGCTGAGCTTGCCGCCCTGTCAGGCAAGCATATAACAAGGTGAACAAGTTGGAGACCTGATTTTACCTCTCAGGTTCTGATGGCTCCTTTGTGCACTATTTTGCATTTAAGCTGGTGACATTGGCAGCTAGTGGCTACTTAGCCTCATCCCTGCGTATCTTCTGTTAAGCATCAGAAATTGTCTGCAAGTTCATGTGTTGTTTCTTTTAACCTAGTGGCTTTCTATTGTCCTCATTGGTTATTCAGCATGGTTGTACATTAGAATTTCCTGGGGAACTTTTAAAAAAAATTTTATTGGAATATAGTTGGTTTACAGTGTTGTATTTCAGGTATACAGCAGAGTGATTCAATTACACGTACATTCATCCTTTTTGAGATATTTTTTCTCATATAGATTATCATAGAATATTGAGTAGAGTTCCCATACTATACAGTAGTTCCTTGTTGGTTATACACACACTATATAGTGGTGTGTGTATGTTAATCTTAAGATCCTTTTTATCCCTCTTCCCAGCCATGCCTCCCCCGCCCCAGTTTCCCCTTTGGTAACCAAAACTTTGTTTTTAATATCTGTAAGTCTGTTTCTGTTTTGCAAATAAGTTCCTTTGTATCATTTATTTTAAAAATTAAATTAAAAAAAAAAATCAGATTCCACACAGAAGTGATATCATATGAGATTAGAATTTCCTGGGGAACTTTTTAAAAAAGTGATATATGAGCCTTATTTGAGACCAACTAAGAATCCAAACATAGGGGTCAGGCTTATGCATCAATTTTTGTTGTGTTGTTTCTAAATCTCCCCCTCTGATGTGCAGCTGGGGTTGAGAACCACATTGGAAATGCAAACAGCCCTGTATAGTTCACGAACCCTTCTCCAGACACTGCTCTTTTCACTTGCTTCACTCTTCCTGACTCACTTTGATTTAACCTTGTTATTATGTGCCTTCCTGTATCCACCACTAACTGAAGACTGGGTTTCTCCTTTGATAGGCAAGCTTCTTCCAAGTCCTGTATCAGGCAGGTGGAGCCATCATGTAATCCTATACCCCTGAAATGTTTCTTAGTGGACCATAGGACCATGTTTGAATTCTTTAGTGTAGGTTTTCATTGGTTTTATCCTAAGCTTTCTAAAAATTCAAGTTTTTGTAGATTAATTTTTACCCCTCACTCATTTGTGTAGTCATATTGTCCATCTTTTAATAATTTTACTCATGCCTGAAAAATTATATTCATGGCATACATGAGAACATTTATAGTGGTAAATCAAGCTGAACCGCATTTAAAAACTAAAACTAAATTTCCGCAAAACAAAATCTTAAGAAAACCACAGGTCCTCTAGAGGGCGCTCATGTGCTTCTTTCATTTCCGCTCAGGTTCAAGAGCAAACCAGAGAGCCCAGTAAAAACCCTTTTCTCAGGAAGAAGCGAGCTCAGGTCTCTGAGCCGGCACTCCTCCGAAGTGTGCAGCAGATCCCAGGAGTCGGGAAAGTGAAAGCCCCACTCCTGCTTCAGAGGTTTCCAAGTATTCAACAACTAAGCAATGCGTCTATCCGAGAACTGGAGGCGGTAGTAGGACCAGCCGCAGCCCAGCACATTCATGCATTCTTCACCCAGCCCAGGTGAGGGCTCCTTTCATGGGCATCTCATCACGGGACTGCAGGATCTTGTTTTCTTTTCACACTAAGAAAAGAGTTCCTTGGAGAAGGAAATGGGAACCCACTCCAGTCTCCTTGCTCGGGAAATCCCATGGGGAGCCTGCAACGGTCCATGGAGTACAGAAGGGCTGGACACGGCTTAGTGACTAAATAGCAACAAATGGCAGTTCTAGCCAATGTATGAGAAAAACTTGTAAGGAATTGGGGGTTGGGGCTGAAGCCAAAATCCTATTGTTTACAGATGTGAATGTCTATTTAGAAAAACCAAAATAAACTGCACGCAAATATTTAAACTAAGAAAAGAAGAGTTCCTTTTACCACAGTTGGGGAAAGATGAGAAGAGGCCTGAATGGAACCTGCCAATTGTCCTGCCCTGTTCTCTGGCGTCAGGCATTTCCTTGGATTAGTGGGCCTGTCCCAGACGGCCCTGCCCGCATCCTGCTAGCATGAAGTGGGCTGGTGGGCACTTTCCTAAGGGAACCTCAGACTCAGCAGAAAGCCAGCTTGGGAGGATTTCAATGTGTGACCTTGACCTTATCTATCATGGAAGGTGGCGGATATGACTGTTTAAAGGAAACAAACGTACAGTGAAGCATTGTTCCCATAAGCTCCTTGTTCCTGCTGGCAGAGCCACTATTCTTCAGATCTGATCTTAATATACCTGTGCTTTGAGGGCAGCTGCCAGTGTCAACAGACAATTGTACTGCCTTTTTTCTTCCTTTCTTCCTATCTCCCTTCCTGGTAGTTGCACAGTTTGTTTATAATCCCTGAGCACATCTTCTGAACACAGAAGGCCTGGAGTCTGGAGTTCCCACTGTAAGATAAAAAGCCAGCGTGTGTGAGGGACGGAAGAATGCGTTTGTAAATGGATAGCCCAGCAACCAAAAGATGCACAGGAAAGTGGCAGGGCCAGCTGAGAGAGCCTGGGGCTAGAGACCAAAATGTGTAATTGCTCATCCGAAGAATAAATACACTGAACAACAACAACTACACACACACACACACATTGGAATATACTCGGCCATCAAAAAGAATGTTGGGTCATTTGTAAAGATGTGGATGGACCTAGAGTCTTTCACGCAGAGCGAAGTAAGTCAAAAGAGAAAAACAAATATCATATATTAACGCATGTGTGGAATTCAGAAGAATGTTACAGAAGAACCTATTCGCAGGGCAGGAACAGAGATGCAAATGTAGACAATGGACAGGTAGACACAGAGAGGTGGGGATGGGATAAATTGGGAGACTGTGATTGACAAAATGCACGTCATGTGTAAAGTAGATAGCTAGTGGGAATTGACTATAGCGAATAGGGCTCGACTTCATGCTGTGTGGTGACCTAGATAGATTGTATGGGGTTGAGGGGAGGAGATCCAAGAGGGAGAGGATATATGTATACATGTAGCTGATTTGCTTCATTGTACACAAGAAACTAACATTGTAAAGCAATTATACTCCAATTTAAAAAAAAAAAGACAAAAAAATACAATTAAAGAGGCCATACATTTTCAAGGACACTAAGGCATCTTGAAAGCTCTCAAAGTCCTATTTTGTGAAATGTTAGTAATTTTTAAAAATATATATATTTATATATTTATTTGGTTGCACCGTGTCTTAGTTACGGCACACTAGATCTCTACCTGTGGCATGCAAACTCTTAAGTTGCAGCATGTGGGATATAGTTCCCTGACCAGGGGACAAACCTGGGCCCACTGCATTGGGAGAGCAGAGTCTTAGCCACTGGGCCACCAGGGAAGTCCCAGTGATTTTTTTTANTAGTTGTGGCTCAAGGGTCCCAGAGAGTGCAGGCTGAAGGAGTTGTGGCTGCCTGGCTCTAGAGCACTTGGGCTTCAGTAGTTGGGGCACCCAGCTCTAGGGCACAGGCTTAATAGTTGTGGTGCAGGGGTTTAGTTGCCCTGCGGCATGTGGAATCTTCTCGGACTAGGGATCAAACCCATGTCCCTTGCATTGGCAGGGAGAATCCTATCTACTGCTTCACCGGGAAAGTCCAAACTTTTAAAAATCAAGTAAAATAAAACTTCTGTGCATTAGGGTAAAAATGATTTGAAAGAGGAGAAAATGAAAGTGAAGTCAAAGTGGAAACCATTAACTGAGGCAAATGAATTTATTTAAATATTTATACAAAAATATCAGTAAGAACAGTGGATACACTTTCCCAAATATGGTTGCTTCCCTTTTGACATTACACACTACAAAATATTTTAAGTTCATTTATTCTCAAAATGACATGGCAGTGCTATATCTGTAGAAGCTATATAACTTATACTATGTCAACAGTGAATCTTAGAACCACTGTGTCATCCAACGTATAGCAAGACAAACCAATGTCATTTTACAAAGTCAAATAGAGCTCTAAACTTGAGTCATTTACATCTTGACCTTGTACAATGTTTTTAACCCTTCCTAAAGACTCTTAAAATATACAATTATGTACTTTCTACTTTAAACAAAATGAGAAATGTTTTGAGTATCAAACAGTATATTATCTACCTTGTAGACGGCATCTTCATCTAACACTGCCACTGTGTTAGCGACTTTTAAGTGACATAAAATGGAAGAAAAACTGCTCCTAAATGTTTTTTTTTTTTAATCTAAAGTCATGACAAATTTGGCACTAGACTTTATCTGGAAATAGCATTCATATTATCTACAAATAATAGTAAAATCTTGTTCTAGGTTAGTGATTCCCCCTTAGGCAGCAGGTCTTTGGAACAGTTTTTAATAACACTTAGTCTAGCATTATAGTCCCTCCCCCTGCCTGGATTTGGGGTCATCTGAATTCTGAGTTAAGGAATTAATCTATGTTTCACCCAAGCCTAAAAACTTACTAATAAGACCCATATAGGAAATCCTAATTGAACTCTGACAGTAAGTAACTAAGAGTCCTAATTCTAGTCTTTAAAAATAGCCATATTTCCATGTTATTCTATTTACAATACTTTATATAATAAATAACTTGCAGCAGTACGGTGAGACTCCCCTGATTAAGTTTGTTTTCCACAAGCTTCTAGAGGCTTCTTGTTACTTACACTCAAGGACATATCAATTGTATGTTTATGCTACGGGAAAACGGGATTTGAGAATATTGAGAACTCTTCCTCTATGGCACAAATGCGAAGGCCCAGTCAGCACGAGCAGCGCTCTGGCTTCTTCACGTCAGTACAAAGAGCTGTCGGTGTTGAGAAGGCTGAAGGGAGAGGAGAGCTTTTTCTTGACCGGAGGCCTCGCGACACCAACCGACGGGAGGCACAGGGTGCTCGCCGACTTCTGTCTGTTCTTGTTGGTGCTCCAGCTCAAAAACGAGAGCTTTTTCGATATTTTCTTGGTTTTATCAGTTTTATCATCAACATCTATGCCTAAGCAGATCATGGAGTAAGTCTTCTGCATTCCCACAGAGTATGTGGCACATTTACTATGCTGTACACAGAAAAAGAAGAACAGTTAAATGGTTATTTGATCTTCCAAATAATGAATTCTTTTTATTTTCAAAACCTGTCTTGATATGCTGTGATTACAGTGAAATGACTATTTTAGGCAGACATATTTTTCTGTTATAGGAAGTAACTTATATACATGATTTAAATTATGAAAGAATGGTTAGATCCCATTTAGCCATTTTTAAAGTGTAGTTAAAAATAGTTAGAAATCAAGATGTCAGAGAAATGACTGCCAAGTTTTGAGACTCACATTCTGCACTCATGGCATCCTCTTTAAGTGATATATTTCTGAGATTCAGTGACTAATGCTGATATAGGATTAGGTTCTTAAGAACAAGGACAATTCTTAAGGAATATGCTCAATAGTAGTCATTTAGGCTGGGGACCACTACTCCCTTTTAAAGGTTATTACATTTGAAAAAGTAATACACACTTATGGTCAATAATATGAAAATGCATCAGGTGGACAGTAGGTGTCCCTCCCACCTTTTAGCCCTGTCCACTGAGGTAACCACTATCTGTTACATTTTTAGAAATAACATTCATATACAGGTATTGATATGTGTTAAGTATACAGCACCATTTGTCTTTCCTTAAAAATACACTATGTACACGAGTTTGCACCCTGCTTTCTTCACTTAATGTATCCTGGATTTCAGCCCACACCAGTAGATACGGCAGCTCAGATGGTAAAGAATCCGCCTGCAATACAGGAGACTTGGGTCGGGAAGATCCCCTGGAGAAGGGAAAGGCAACCCACTCCAGTATTCTTGCCTGGAGAACCCCACGGACAGAGAAGCCTGGTGGGCTATGGTTCATGGGATTGCAAAGAATCAAACACAGCTGAGTGACTAAGCGAGTTCTCTTTAAAGACAACAGAATCCATGGTAACAAGGTTATGATTAAATTTTTCCAGTTTTTTAAACTGATGAAATAAACATAAAATTTACCATTTTAACCACTCATGGCCTTGGGAAGATCCCCTGGAGAAGGAAAAGGCAACCCACTCCAGTATTCTTGCCTGGAGAACCCCACGGACAGAGAAGCCTGGTGGGCTACGGTTCATGGGATTGTAAAGAATCAAACACAGCTGAGTGACTAAGCGAGTTCTGTTTAAAGACAACAGAATCCATGGTAACAAGGTTATGATTAAATTTTTCCAGTTTTTTAAACTGATGAAATAAACATAAAATTTACCATTTTAACCACTCATGGCCTTAAGTACACTCACACTGCTATGCAGCCATCACCACCACCCACCTCCAGAACTTATCCATCTTCCCCAAGTGAACTCCATGCCCACTCAACGCTACTGTTAACTTTTGTAGGATTGTGAAGGACTCAAATGAGAAATGGGAAGGAATTTGTTTTCTAAAGACTTCCATGTGAGTTATCATGTGCTAATACTGAGATTACTTTGCTCACAGAATGTTTACTGACCATCTACCTTGCTCCAGGCACTGAAATCAGGCTGTATGTATAAGCAGACAAACAATATATATCTGAAGCCGTTAGGCACATTGTTCATAATATAAATCCAGGAAAGGAGTTTGAGTGATGCAGCAAGAAAGGAGGGGAATTCACAATAAAATGTCCCTCCTAAGTTTGGCACCTCTGGATGAAGATGCCTCTCCCTTTTCTATTAATATAAAACTGCCCATTAGACTGGCCTGGTGCTTCAGTTGTTACGACTTGGCACTTTGACTGTGGTGGCCTGGGTTCATGGGGAAATAAGATCCCAAAAGCCACACAATGTGGCCAAAAAAAAAAACGGGAAAGAAACCCACCCTGTACCGTCAGCAACTTCTCCTCATTCCCTGGTGCCCCAGCCTCTGGCAAGCACTAACCTACATTTTGTTTCTATGAATCTGCCTATTCTGAACATTTCTTAATGGAGTCACACACTCATTCACTCTCTGACCGTCTCTAGTCTGAGTTCTGTTGCCATCTCCCCATGAAAAAGTGTCCTTTGGGGGACTTCCCTGGCGGTCCAGTGGTTAGGACTCTGTGCTTGCAGGGGGTATGGGTTTGATCCCTGGGGGAACTAAGATCCCACATGCCACGCGGTGCGGCCAAAACTGGAAGTGTCCCTTTTCCCTGCTGCCAGGCACAACAAACAGCTCTGCTTACCTCATTCTCCACCTCTTAGCTGTGTTCAACACAAACCACCACTCTCTCCGGCAGGATTTTCTTCTCTTGGTTTCAGAAGCCCCTTTTTATCCCACCTTCGCACCTACTTTGCACTCCCTTTCGCTCCTGCTTGGGGATCTTAATTCCTCAACCAGGGATTGAACCTGCATCCCCTGCACTGGAAGCGCAGAGTCTTAACCACTGGACCACTAGGGAAGTCCCCCATATGTGTTTGTACCCCTTCACATGGCTGGATCTTCCTGACCCCCAGAT